CTGGCATCCGTTCCCTTTCCTGCCACTTCCCAACCTGTTCTGTCACCAGAATGCAGTGGTTTGTTCTGCCTGAAGCATCTATCCGACACTTGGCATCTTTGCAGCTCTGCACGGGCCCCAGCATGGCCCTTGCACTCCCTCCCTTCCTCTAACAGAGCACATGGGGTGAGAAGAGGAGAACATCTCCCCGTGTGCTGTGTACAGCACCAGGAGCAGCGCTGCTGTCACGAGTGATGAGGTGCTGACCTCTGAAACTGAACCAGAACAGAAGCTCTGCTGTTATGACTCTGTACGTGGCTGCAGAGCTGCAGGGAGCGCACAGGGAGCAGCTCCTAGGGCACAGCTCTCATCAGGTACCCGGCACCTGGAAGATTCAGGGAGGAAGAAAACCAGAGACAGGAATGTTCAGTGAACCTCTCTGGTGAGAGCATCCAGGCAAGGCTGGAGTGGGGTTCTCGGGCCTGTGTTAGAGAGGAACAAAAGGGAATGAAGGGCTGGAGGACAAGAGGCTCTCCATATCAGTCCAGTGAAATCAGAGGAGCTGGAGCAGGTGACCAGTGACACCGTGCGAAGGAAGCACCGGTTTCTTTGGCACTGCTGGGGTGTGCATTGGAGATACAGGGTGGGCATGAGTGGTCGCTGTGTTTGGTAGTGTCAGGAACTGAAATGCTCTACAAACGCCTCTATCAGAACGCTTCAGAGCAGCTCCAGCTGAAAGGACAGAAGGTAATTTCCAATGGCAAACTTCCATTGTGCCATTAAAACATCGAGATCGGTGGTTTTATGTCGGTAACCGGGCCTGCTTTGTGTTGCTCATTGTGAATTCTTCACACGAGTGACAGGGTCTGTTTACCTCCCAGTTAAACTTCTCCTCAGCAGACGATATCGAGGGAAGTTTGCAGCCAGGGAGGAGGTATCGGCATGATCCTGCTCACCCCAAACTGACACGCACATTACCTGGCTGGGGGGTAACGTTACACTGCTGAGCCCCACAGAACCTCTCTCTGTGCCCCACAGGCTACGTGTCGGACCCCATGAGCACCATGAGGTTTCATTCCTGCAGCAGTGGCAGCTTTGAAGAAAGCAGCTGACAGCATGAACCGTCCCTCTGCGGAGAGACCCATCACCGTGTCAGCACTGACCCAGGCTCCCAGTGCTGCACTGAGGACCCCCAACAGCTCCATGTGCTGGTGGCAAATGTCCCCGTCACAAGTCCTGCTTTAGCATCTTTCTCTGCTGACCTGCTTGAAGGTTAGGAGTTTTTGGTGGTGTGCATCTCTTCCTTAACAAATGAATGTTAATGTTAAATGAGGGATTTAAAAGACAGGTAGATGTGGCACTGAGGGACATGGTTAATGGTGGACTTGGCAGCGCTGGGTTAGTGGCTGGCCTTGATGATCTTGAAGGTCTTTTCCTACCGAAATGATTCTGTGATTCTAATGTCCCACGAGGAATGCTGCACTTTCACCTGGAGCTTCAATAATATGATGTGGTGAAAGTAAAAATGCATCTGTTGTAGCTTCAGAGCTGTGCAGCAAGATGTTCTTAGATGGGACTGCCCAAAAGTGAGGGGCTACCAGCCCAGTGCTGACTGGAAGGAGCTGGGAGCCGCTGGTCTGCCCTGGTCAGGAGGAGCAGCAGCCTGTTGCTCCCCACCTCCATCCAGAGCTGAAGATTTTCCCGCTTCCAGCTCCTGAACCAGATCAGTCACAGAATCCCAGCCTGGTTTAGGTTGGAAGGGAGCTTAAAGCTCCTCCAGCTCCAGCCCCTGCCATGGGCAGGGACCCCTTCCACTGGAGCAACTTGCTCCAAGCCCCTGTGTCCAACCTGGCCTTGAACACTGCCAGGGATGGGGCAGCCACAGCTTCTCTGGGCACCCTGTGCCAGCGCCTCAGCACCCTCACAGGGAAGAGCTTCTGCCTAAGAGCTCAGCTCATCTCCCCTCGGGCAGGTTAAAGCCATTCCCCTTGGCCTGTTACTGTTTGAGACCCATTTTCTGTCTGAGCTCCTTCAGTCCCAGGCACATCCTGTGTCTCATGTTCTACACCATGGGCTTGCACAGCCCCAGCACAGCAGCCCCCGGCTGCAGCTCACCAAAGCCTGGTCCTTGGATGCTTTGTGCTTGCTGAGAATAAAGGTATCTGGGTGGTCACATTCACTGCTCTCTTCCAGCCATCTGTGTTTTCTTACCCACCTGCTTGGTTTGGTTGGAGGGATTGGTTTTGACAGACTCAGTATCCTTCTAGGCCTTTGCTTACAGGAAGCAAGAGGAACTCACAACAAACTTTAAACCACAAGGGAAATATTTAGGACTGTGTCACAAATAACCTCAACACAGGGAACAGCGCCGTCCGGCCTCAAAGCAGAGCTGCTGCAGGATGCTCTCTGGAGCCTGCTGAGCACCATACATGGGCTGGGCCACAGCACCTCCGGTCACTGCGCATTCAACGTAACTAAATAAACTAAAACCACCCCGAACAGGTCGGGGGGGTGTGGTGGGGGGAGCTGACCGCTGCTTCTAGAGGCGGTGACAGTTCATTGCACTGGAACCTTCTGCCAATAGCGAGGGTCAGCTGGAAGCGCTCCCACTGCCCTGTTATTCCCCGCCTGGAGCACGCCGGTGCCCAAGCGCTGCCCTGCAGCAGAGCCGAGCCCGGTGCCTGAGCACGGACCTGCCCTGGGGGAGCCCGCCCGGGGCTGGGTCCATGCAGGGTGGCCCCCACCGGCCGCGGGCAGCGCACGGAGGTGCCGCCAGCGCGCCTGTGTCCGCACGCGGTCGGTGCCGTGAATGCTTGGGGCTGGTGCACATCCTGCTGCTCCCAAGAGCCACCTGCATCCCCTCGCGCTGGCGTTAATCAGTGACTAGCAAGGAGCAGAACCACCGCCTGTAGCAGGTCTGAAAGCTGCGGGTTCAGACCTCTTAGCGAGGTCCAAACGTTCGACGGGTCTGCTTCTTACCAAACAATTCCACCCTCTCCGATGACAGGCGTGCTCCCATTTGAAAGCGCACAAATGGCACAGCTTTAACGGCCAGCCCAGCAGCAGCAGGGCCAGCCACTGAAACTGCCAAATTCAGCTCAATTGTGTACGTGGTTCCAGCCCTCTGACCATGTTAGAAATCAGCCCCATTGAAGGAGCTGGACAAATGAACATGGCCCAGCACAGCTCCAGTCCATGGCCCTCAGTGACCTGCAAGTGGCTTCATCAGCAGGGAACAGGGGAGGAAGAAGGTAAGCATGAGAACGGGGGAACTGTCTGGTCCATGCCAGGGGAAAAGGTGAGATGGGGCAAGAACTGCTTTGTACCACAGATCAAAGCTCACCCACACCTGCCCTGTATGTGAGAGAAGAGAAAGAAGCACGACAGAGAGGAGCTCATCCCGTCAATATGAGCTCAGAAATCATGGTGTGTTCTTGGGAAAGCTGATTTTTTTTTCTCCCAGTCTATAAAACCAGAGTATTTGCAGGGTGGGGGTTTAGAGCAATACAAGAAGTCGTACAATTGGAATGTTCCAAAGCAAAGGGTTCATTCCCATAATGGTTAAAATCACACACACAAGTGTCAGTTGTAAATATATCAAGTATTTTAACTAATGAATTGTCAGCTTCCTTCCCCAATCACTGCAGCACCATTCACCTTGGGCTTCCCTGGTGCCTACCACCAACAAATCACACCTCGTGTGTTTTCATCCTGCACTCAGTAAAGCAGCTCAATGTCAGATAGACCAGTATGACTCACAACGTGCCCAAGTACAGCCTTAGTTTCAGTCCTGACCCTTCCAGGCAACCCCTGCAAAGGCAAATCCCTGCCCTCCTCCTTCTGCGCTTGCTCAGCTCCAACACTTGAATTGCAACCACGTGTATGGATGTGCAATTGTAAATGGTGCTGGTGCAACCATGCTTACAAGCCACAGGCCTTTGCTCTGCATGAGTGCATGCATGATGTAGTTATAGCATTCAACTCAGCATTAGTCATTTGGTTAGAAAGAAGAGATCAGTACTGAAGACCAGGCCCTGGCACGAGTTACTCTTGAACAAGATTCAAGATACATCATTCTGTGAAACCATCTGCAAAGATCTAAGAAACTGCACAGACTGGCCCAGGGGCTTTGATACCCCAGACGGATGTGCAGTGCCCACCCCTGGACAAGGTCCTTAGCACAACTTTCCATTCTGTGCCCTTCACACGCCAGGAGATGCAGCAGAGCTGGAATGCAGACTCCAGCAGTGTAGATCTGCAGCCAGCTTCACCCTGCTGACCACCCAGCACAGCCTCATGGGCCAGGGAATCACTCCTGACTGGCACCAGCAGAAGCAAAAGGCTTTATTCATTCACAGACCCATTAGAGCTGCTCTGATCCAATGATCTTCAACATTGCCAAGTGCCAAGAACACCCTGAAGCATGGCCAGCAGCAAGCCTGGACCCCAAGGACAGAGACACCCCCCCCCCAAGGAGCGCAGCATCCCCCAAGTAAACACCCCATCTCGTGACCCTGCCAAGCACCCCCAGCTGCCCTACGGGAATCAGAGCAGCAGTGGGTGCCCATGGCCACGGTAGGGACACAGCCCTGGCTCACAGTGAAGAGCCTGCAGCTCAGAATAGGAAATGACACACAGGGAAGAGCAGTCAGGACATGGACACAGCCACCACCGCGGGCACTGCGTGCAGACACCTCCTGTCCTGTGAGCACACACAGCACAGCCACCCTCAGCCTGCAGCAGTGGTGCTGGGGGAGGAGACTCAGCTGGTCCAGTATTTCCCTGTGTCTGGGGAAAAGCAAGCAGTGGAACAGCCCTTGTGATTGTCCTCTTCGTCATTCTGAGTGTGCTGCTCCCTGGGCTGGCGGGTTCAGGCTTGCTTTGGGTGTCTGCTGCACACGGAGAAGCTGCTCTGGTAAAATGTGACAGACAGTTGTGGTACTCATGGAGTGAAATAAAGGAGGGAACATTGCAATCAGCACAAAGCTACAGCAACTTGTGTCAGTGTTGAGGAAGGAGCTGCAGAAAAAGCTTAGAGGCTGCTTTCTTTCCCAAGCTGGGGTTGTACCGGGGGCACGACAGCGGTGTCTGTGACTGCAGGCTCCTACGGAACAGAGAGAAAAAAGTCAGCTTACACAAAACATGCTGAAGTTTGAGCTACTGCGATGCTGCTGCAACAGGTTCCTGCAAGCTGATGCCGGAGTAACCAGAAAAGTTGAGTGCTGCTGCTGCGGCAGAGGAGCCAGGCAGGGGAGCGGGATGCTGGGCATCAGGAGCTGCTCCACATGGTAATGGCGGGGGGAGGGTTGCTGCAAGTGTTAGTGCCAGAGCAAATATGTTTGCTATGAGATTTTGTGAGCAAGGAAGAATGCAGAAGCTGACACCCAAAAGGATTCATCATCCTATGGAGACAGGCTGAGAGAGGAGGGCTTGTCCAGCCTTGAGAAGGCACTGGGGAGACCTTAGAGCAGTTCTAGTGCCTAAAGGGGCTACAGGAAACCTGGAGAAAGGCTTTGGACAAGGGCCTGTAGGGACAGGCCAAGGGGAATGGCTTTAACCTGCCTGAGGGGAGACTGAGATAAGCTCTTAGGCAGAAGCTCTTCCCTGTGAGGGTGCTGAGGCACTGGCACAGGGTGCCCAGAGAAGCTGTGGCTGCCCCATCCCTAGCAGTGTTCAAGGCCAGGTTGGACACAGGGGCTTGGAGCAAGCTGCTCTAGTGGAAGGGGTCCCTGCCCATGGCAGAGGTTGGAGCTGGGTGAGCTTCGAGGTCCCTTCCACCACAAAGCTTTCCATGATTCTCGGGCTCTATGACCCCTCACCCCAAGTACCAGCTGCAGACATTCCACTTATAGCAAACGGGATGAAGTGGTGCACCCTCTGCTCGGGACAGGGACAGCGTGGGGACAGTGTGTGGGACAGGGGCTGACCCGCACAGGATTCACCTCACGGGGACTGTGGCTCCTCTCGCCCGCATCAGCAGCTCCTGGGGTGTCCGGGCTCCCTCCGACGGGACTGTCCGTCCCCTGCTCCCCGGCCCCAGCAGGGCTCTGTGCACTCGCCGGGACAGGGGCTGCTGCTCCCTCTGCAGTGCCCCCATGGAGGCCGCTCTGCTCCCGCTCTGCTCCCCCCGCCGCCGGCTCTGCCCCGTCCTCGCTGCCCGCTGCCCCCGTGCCCGGATGTCCCCGCTGCAGCCGTGGGGAGCTCAGCGCCTCGGCCCCGGCGGCCCCATCCGCGGTCCCCTCCTGCCCCGCTGCCCCCGCCGCGCTCCCCCCCCGCCCCGGGGCAGACCCCGCTGCCCCCTCCACTGCCCCGTCGCCGGCAGGCTGCGCCTTCCCTGTCCCCTCAGCACACCCCGCGGGTCCCTCCATCCCATCTGCCCGCTCCCCCGGACCTGCTGCTCGCCCCGTGCCCTCTTCTCCAGCCCTTGGCTCTGCTCTGGCCACCTGCACACACGCCGTCCCCACCCCTCCATCCGCTTTCCCTTCCACTGCTCCCTCCGTCTTTGCCTTGCTGCCTGGAGATGGGTTTCCACACAAGACTGCTTCTGCTGAGCCCTCCTCCTCTTCTGCTGCTGAGGTGTCCTCCAGCCTAAGTGATCCTTCACTTAAGGGATCCCCTCCAGCACCCACCAGTGCCTCCAGTGCAGGTGCCTCTTGCAGCAGGGGACCCTTGCCAGGCTCCACAGACTCCTCCACTGTGTCTTCTACTCTCAGGAAAGAACTCCCCTCCACCTCCAATGCCTCGCCAACCTCAGGTGTTGCTGCTTTCCCCTTCTGCGCCAACTCTTCCCCTGATGCTTTCAGCTGGGAAAACACATTTGGCTTTACAAAGTCATCTCCTCCAGGCACAGACTCTCCTGTGCACACATCCCGATTCCCCAGGGCCTCAAGGAGAGCCCCAGGCTTCTCCACAGCCTCCACCCACCCAGAAATTGTCTCCTTGACAGCCTCTTCCCCATAAGGGTCAGCTGCCCCAGCAAACCCTGCTTCTCCCAAGCTAGCTTCCTCTGCAGCCTCCTCTGCCTCACACAAAGCTCCTACCACAACACCCTGAACTGCAGAGGCTCCCTCCTGCATGGTTTCAGACACCATCTTATCCGCATCCAAAACAATCTGACCTGCAGAACCTCCCTCCTGCAAGGGCTCAGAAAACATCTCACTCACAACAAGACCCTGACCTGCAGAACCTCCCTCCTGCAAGTCCTCAGACACCATCTCACTCAAAATAACACCCTGACGTGCAGAACCTCCCTCCTGCACAGCTTCAAACACCACCTCACTCAAAACAACACCCTGACCTGTAGAAGAACCTCCCTCCTGAGTGGCTTCAGACACCATCTCAACCACCTCCACAACACCCTGATCAGCAGAAACTCCCTCCTGCAGGTCTTCAGACACCATCTCACTCACAACAACACCTTGACCTGAAGAACCCCCTCCTTGCATGGACTCAGACACCATCTCACTCACAACAACACCTTCATCTGCAGAACCCCCTCCTTGCATGGACTCAGACACCATCTCACTCACAACAACACCTTCACCTGCAGAACCCCCTCCTTGCATGGACGCAGACACCATCTCACTCACAATAACACCTTCATCTGCAGAACCCCCTCCTTGCATGGACGCAGACACCATCTCACTCACAAAAACACCTTGATCTGCAGAAACCCCTCCTTGCATGGACTCAGACACCATCTCAATCACAACACCCTGACCTGCAGAACCCCCTCCTTGCATGGACTCAGACACTATCTCACTCACAAAAACGCCTTGACCTGCAGAACCCCCTCCTTGCATGGACTCAGACACCATCTCACTCACAACACCTTGACCTGTAGAACCCCCCTCCAGCACAGCCTCAGACACAATCTCACTCACAACAACACCTTGACCTGCAGAATCCCCCTCCAGCACAGCCTCAGACACCATCTCACTCACAACAACACCTTCACCTGCAGAACCCCCTCCTTGCATGGACTCAGACACCATCTCACTCACAACACCTTGACCTGCAGAACCCCTCTCCAGCACAGCCTCAGACACCATCTCACTCACAACAACACCTTCACCTGCAGAACCCCCTCCTTGCATGGACTCAGACACCATCTCACTAACATCTTGACCTGCAGAACCCCCCTCCAGCACAGCCTCAGATACCATCTCACTCACAACAACACCGTGACCTGCAGAACCTCCCTCCTGAACACTCTCAGATACTATCTCACTCACAACAACACCTGCAGAACCTCCTTCCTGCAAGTCCTCAGACACCATCTCACTTACAACAACACTCTGACCTGCAGAACCTCCATCATGCAAGTCCTCAGACACCATCTCACTCACAACTCCACCCTGACCTGCAGAACCCCCCTCCAGCACAGCCTCAGACACTATTTCACTCACAACACCTTCACCTGCAGAACCCCACCCTTGCACGGACTCAGACACCGTATCGCGCACAGCAACATCCTGACTTGCAGAACCTCCCTCCTGTACAGCCTCAGACACCATCTCACACACCTCCATGACACCCTGACCTGGAGAATCTCCCTCCTCCACACCCTGAGACACCACATCAACTACCTCCAAAACACCCTGACCTGCAGAACCTCTCCCTTGGACAGCCTCACACACTGTCTCACTCACAAGAACATCTTGACCTGCAGAACCTCCCTCCTGCAAGGCCACAGACACCATCTCACTCACAACACCCTGACCTGCAGAACACCCCCCCTGCACAGCCTCAGACACCACCTCACTCACAACACCTTGACCTGCAGAGCACCCCTCCTGCAAGGCCTCAGAAACCATCTCACTCACAACAACACCCTGACCTGCAGAACCTCCCTCCTGTACAGCCTCAGACACCATCTCACTCACAGCAGCACCCTGACCTGCAGAACACCCCTTCTGTACAGCCTCAGACACCATTTCACTCACTTCTACAACACCCTGACCTGCAGAACCTCCATCCTGCAATGCCTCAGACACCACCTCACTCACAACACCCTGACCTGCGGAACCTCCATCCTGCAAGGCCTCAGACATCACCTCACTCACAACACCCTGACCTGCAGAACATCCATCCTGCAATGCCTCAGACACCACCTCACTCACAACACCCTGACCTGCAGAACATCCATCCTGCAAGGCCTCAGACACCACCTCACTCACAACACCCTGACCTGCGGAATCTCCCTCCTGTACAGCTGCAGACACCATCTCACACACAAAAACACCTTGACCTCCAGAACCCCCATCCTGCACAGCCTTAGCCACCACCTCACTCATAACACCTTCACATGCAGAAACTCCCTCCTGTACCGCCTCAGACACCATCTCATTAACAACAACTTGAGCTGCAGAACATTCCCCTTGCACACCCTCAGACACCGTCTCACTCACAACACCCTGACATGCAGAACCTCCCTCCTGCGTGTCCTCACACACCATCTTACTCAAAACAACACCCTGACACGTAGAACCACTCTCCCACATGCCCTCAGACACCATCTCACTCACAACAACACTCTGACCCATAGAACCTCTTTCCAGCAGGGCCTCAGATATCATCTCACTCACATCTACAACACCCTGACCTGCAGAACCTTCCTCCTGCATAGCCTCAGACACCATCTCAACCACTTCCACAACACCCTGACCAGCAGAACCTCCCTTCTGCACCACCCCAAACACCATCTCACGCACAACAACACCCTGACCTGCAGCACCTTCCTCCTGTGTGGCTTCAGACACCATCTCAACCACCTCCACAACACTCTGACATGTAGAACCACCCTCGTGCACGGCTTCAGACACCATCGCACTCACAACACCCTGTCTTGCAGCACCTTCATCCTCTGTGGCTTGAGACACCATCTCACGCACAACAACACCCTGACATTCAGAACCTCCCTCCTGCACATCCTCAGACACCATCTCATCCAAAACAACACCTTGACCTGTAGAATCTCTCTCCTGTAAGTCCTCAGACACCATCTCACTCACAACAACACCCTGACCTGCAGAACCTCCCTCCTGCATGACCTCAGACACCATCTCAATTACAACACCCTGACCTGCAGAACCTCCATTGTGAAAGCCCTCAGACACCATCTCACTCACAACAACACCGTGACCTGCAGAACCTCCCTCCTGAACACTCTCAGATACTATCTCACTCACAACACCTGCAGAACCTCCTTCCTGCAAGTCCTCAGACACCATCTCACTTACAACAACACTCTGACCTGCAGAACCTCCATCATGCAAGTCCTCAGACACCATCTCACTCACACCAACAACCTGACCTGCAGAACCTCCCTCCTGCAAGTCCTCAGACACCACCTCACTCACACCAACAACCTGACCTGCAGAACCTCCCTCCTGCAAGTCCTCAGACACCACCTCACTCACACCAACACCTTGACCTCCAGAACCTCCCTCCTGCACAGCCTCAGACACCACCTCACTCACACCAACATCCTGACCTGCGGAACCTCCATCGTGCAAGTCCTCAGACACCACCTCACTCACACCAACAACCTGACCTGCAGAACCTCCCACCTGCAAGTCCTCAGACACCACCTCACTCACAACAACACCTTGACCTCCAGAACCTCCCTCCTGCACAGCCTCAGACACCATCTCATTCACAGCAACACCCTGACCTGCAGCACCTTTCTCCTGTGTGGCTTCAGACACCATCTCAACCACCTCCACAACACCCTGACCTGTAGAAGCTCCCTCCTGCACAGCCCCAGACAATACCTCACTCACCTCCACAACACCCTGACCTGTAGAACCTCCCTCGTGCACGGCTTCAGACACCATTGCACTCACAACAACACCCTGACCTGCAGCACCTTCCTCCTCTGTAGCTTCAGACACCATCGCACTCACAACAACACCCTGACCTGCAGCACCTTCCTCCTCTGTAGCTTCAGACACCATTGCACTCACAACAACACCCTGACCTGCAGCACCTTCCTCCTCTGTAGCTTCAGACACCATCGCACTCACAACAACACCCTGACCTGCAGCACCTTCCTCCTCTGTAGCTTCAGACACCATCGCACTCACAACAACACCCTGACCTGCAGCACCTTCCTCCTCTGTAGCTTCAGACACCATCGCACTCACAACAACACCCTGACATTCAGAACCTCCCTCCTGCACAGCCTCAGACACCATCTCACCCAAAACAACACCCTGATCTGCAGAATCTCTCTCCTGTAAGTCCTCAGACCCCATCCCACTCACAACAACACCCTGACCTGCAGAGCCTCCCTCCTGCATGACTTCAGATACCATCTTACACACAACAGCATCCTGACCTACAGAGCCTCCCTCCTGAGTGGCCTCCGACACCATCTCACTCACAACACCCTGACATGCAGAACCTCCCTCCTGCATGACCTCACACACCATCTCACTCAAAACAACACCCTGACATGTAGAACCATTCTCCCGCGTGACCTCAGACACCATCTCACTCACAACACCTTGACCCATAGAACCTCTTTCCAGCAGAGCCTCAGATATCACCTCACTCACATCTATAACAGCCTGACCTGCAGAACCTTCCTCCTGCATAGCCTCAGGCACCATCTCACTCACAGCAACACCCTGGCCTAAAGAACCTCCCTCCTGCATGACCTCAGACACCATCTCACTCACTTCTATAATGGCCTGACCTGCAGAACCTCTCTCCTGCATGGCCTCAGACACCATCTCACTCACAACAACCCCCTGACCTGCAGAACCTACCTCCTTCATTGCTTCAGACACAATCTCTTCCGTCTCCACAACACCCTGACCTGCAGAACCTCCCTCCTGCAGGACACCAGACACAATCTCACTCACAACAACACCCTGACCTGCAGAACCTCCCTCCTGCAGGACACCAGACACAATCTCACTCACAACAACACCCTCACCTGCAGAACCTCCCTCCTGCAGGACACCAGACACAATCTCACTCACAACAACACCCTCACCTGCAGAACCTCCCTCCTGCAGGACACCAGACACAATCTCACTCACAACAACACCCTGACCTGCAGAACCTCCCTCCTGCAGGACACCAGACACAATCTCACTCACAACAACACCCTCACCTGCAGAACCTCCCTCCTGCACAGAACCTGACACAATCTCACTCACAACAACACCCTGACCTGCAGAACCTCCCTCCTGCATGGCACCAGACACAATTTCACTCACAACAACACCCTGACCTGCAGAATCTCTCTCCTGCTTGACCTCAGATACCATCTCACTCACAACAGCACCTTGACCTGCAGAACACCCCTCCTGCACAGCCGCAGACACCATCTCACTCACAACACCTTGACCAGCAGAACCTCCCTCCTGTGTGACCTCAGACACCATCTCACTCACATCTACAACACACTGACCTGCAGAACACTCCTCCTGCACAGCCTCAGAAACCACCTCACACTCAACAACACCCTGACCAGCAGAACCTCCCTCCTGCGTGACCTCCAACACCATCTCACTCACATCTCCAACACACTGACCTGCAGAACCTCCCTTCTGCACGGCACCAGACACAATCTCACTCACAACAACACCCTGACCTGCAGAACCTCCCTCCTGCAGAGGCTCAGACTCCATCTCACCCTCCTCCACAACACCCTGACCTGCGGAACCTCTCCCTTGCACAGCCTGAGATACCATCCCACTCACAACAGCAACCTGACCTGCAGAACCTGCCACCTTCGTGACCTCAGACACCATCGCACTCACAACATCCTGACCTTTATCAACTCCCCCCTGCATGACTTTAGACACCACCGCACTCACAACATCCTGACCTTTATCAACTCCCCCCTGCATGACTTTAGACACCACCGCACTCACAACACCTAGACCTGCAGAACCTCCCTCCTGCGGGACCTCACATACCATCTCACTCAAAACAACACCCTGACCTGCAGAACCTCCCTCCTGCACAGCGTTAGAAACCATCTCGCTCACAACACCTAGACCTGCAGAATCTCCATCCTGCAGATCCTCAGACACCATCTGACTCACAACATCTTCACCTGCAGAACTTCCCTCCTGCAAGGCCTCAGACATCACTTCACTCACAACAACACCCTGACCTGCAGAACCTCCATCCTGCAGATCCTCAGACACCATCTGACTCACAACATCTTCACCTGCAGAACTTCCCTCCTGCAAGGCCTCAGACATCACTTCACTCACAACAACACCTTTACCTGCAGAACCTCCCTCCTGGACAGCCTCAGACACCACCTCACTCACAACACCTTCACCTGCAGAACCTCCCTCCTGCACAGCCTCAGACACCATCTCACTCACAACACCCTGACCTGCAGAACCTCCCTCCTGCACAGGCTTAGATACTGTCTCACTCACAACAACCTGACATGCAGAAACTCCCTCCTGCACAGCCTCAGACACCATCTCACTCATAACAACACCCTGACCTGGAGAACATCCCTCCTGCATAGGCTTAGACACTGTCTCACTCACAACACCCCGACATGCAGAAACTCCCTCCTGCACAGCCTCAGACACCATCTCGCTCAGAACAACCTGGCCTAAAGAATCCCTCCCTTGCACAGCTTCAGACACCACCTCACACACAAAAACACCTTCACCTGCAGAACCAACCCCCTGCATAGGCTTAGAAACCATCTCACTCACAACACCTTGACCTGCCAAATCTCCCTCCTGCACAGCATCAGACACCACCTCATTCACAACAACACCCTGGCCAGCAGAACCTCCCTCCTGCGTGGCCTCAGACACCATCTCACCCAAAACAACACTTTGACCTGCAGAATCTCCCTCCTGCACAGCCTCGGACACCATCTCACTCACAACAGCACCTTGACCTACAGAACATCCCTCCTGCACAGCCTCAGACACTATCTCAACCACTTCCACAACACCCTGACCTGCAGAACCTGCCTCCTGCGTGACCTCAGTCACCAACTCACTCATAACACCCTCACCCGCAGAACCTTCCTCCTTACTGACCTCAGAAACCACTTCATTCACATCTACAACACCGTGACCTGCAGAACCTCCCTCCTGCAAATCCTCACACACAATCTCACTCAGAGCAACAACCTGACTCACAGAACCTCCCTCTCGCACACCCTCAAACACCATCTCACTCACAACTCCCTGACCTGCAGAACCTCCCTCCTCGGTGGCGTCAAACACCATCTCACACACCTCCACAACACCCTGACATGTAGAAGCTCCCTCCTTCAGAGCCTCTGACACCATCTCACTCACAACAACACCCTGACCTGGAGAATGTCGCTCCGGTGTGACCTCAGACACCACACCACTCACAACAACACCCTGAGCTGCAGAACCTTCCCATTGCATTGCCTCAGACACCATCTCACTCACAACACCCTGACCTGCAGAACTTCCCCCTTGCATAGCCTCAGACACCATCTCACTGTCAACAACACCCTCACCTACAGAACGTCCCTCCTGCAAGTCCTCGCACACCATCGCACTCACAACAATACCCTGACCTTCAGTACCTCCTTCCTGCACAGCCTCAGACACCATCTCACTCACATCTACAACACCCTTTCCTGCAGAACACCCCTCCAGCACAGCCTCAGACACCATCTCACTCACATCAACACCCTGACCTGCAGAACCTTCCCTTTGCACAGTTTCAGACACCATCTCAGTCACAACACCACTTTGACCTTCAAAACCTCCCTCCTGCGCAGCCTCATACACCATCTCCCCTTCCCTCACAACACCCTGACCTGCAAAACTTCCCTCCTGCACAGTCTCATACAGCATCTCACCCTCCTCCACAACACCCTGACCTGCAGAACCTCCCTCCTGAACACCCGCAGACACCATCTCAATCACAACAACCTGACCTGCAGAATCTGACTCCTGCATGACCTCATTCACCACCTCACTCACAACAACACACTGACCTGCAGATCTTCCCTCCTGAACACCCTCAGACACTAGCTCAATCAAAACATCCTGACCTCCAGAACATTCCTCCTGAACACTCTCAGACACCACCTCACTCACAACAACACCCTCACCCACAGAACTTCCCTTCTGCAAGTCCTCAGACACCATCTCAATCACAACACCCTGACCTGCAGAATCTGACTCCTGCGTGACCTCATTCACCATCTCACTCACAACACCACCCTGACCTGCAGAGCCTCCTTCCTGAACACCCTCAGACATCATCTCAATCACAACACCCTGACCTGCAGAACCTCCCTCCTCCAAGTCCTCAGACACCATCTCAATCACAATACCCTGACCTGCAGAACCTGCCTCCTGCATGACCTCATTCACCACCTCACTAACAACACCTTGACCTGCAGAACCTTCTCCTTGCACAGTTTTAGACACCATCTCAATCACAAGACCCTGACCTTCAGAACCTCCCTCCTGCAAGTCCTCAGACACCACCTCACTCACAACATCCTGACCTGCAGAACCTTCCCCTTGCACAGTTTCAGACACCACCTCAATCACAACAACACCCTGACCTGCAGAACCTCCCTCCTGAACACCCTCAATCACCATCTCAGTCACAACACCCTGACCTACAGAACCTCCCTCCTGCAATTCCTCAGACACCATCTCAATCACAACACCCCGACCTGCATATCCTCCCTCCTGAACACATTCAGACACCATCCCAATCACAACACCCTGACCTGCAGATCCTGCCTCCTGCAAGTCCTCTGACACCATCTCAGACACAACACCGTGACCTTCAGAACCTCCCTCCTGCAAGTCCTCAGACACCATCTCAATCACAACACCCTGACCTGCAGGACCTGCCTCCTGCGTGACCTCATTCACCACCTCACTCACGACACCCTGACCTTCAGAACCCCCCTCCTCCAAGTCCTCAGACACCATCGCAATCACAATACTGTGACCTGCAGAACCAGCCTCCTGCGTGACCTCATTCACCACCTCACTAACAACACTGTGACCTGCAGATCCTCCCTCCTGCACACCCTCAGACATCATCTCAATCACAACACCCTGACCTGCAGGACCTGCCTCCTGCGTGACCTCATTCACCACCTCACTCACAACACCCTGACCTTCAGAACCCCCCTCCTCCAAGTCCTCAGACACCATCTCAATCACAACACCCTGACCTGCAGATCCTGCCTCCTGCGTGACCTCATTCAATACCTCACTCACAACACCCTGACCTTCAGAACCTCCCTCCTGGAAGTCCTCAGACACCATCTCAATCACAACACCGTGATCTGAAGATCCTCCCTCCTGAACACCCTCAGACCCCATCTCAATCACAACACCCTGACCTGCAGAACCCCCCTCCTGCACGTCCTCAGACACCATCTCAATCACAACACCCTGACCTGCAGATCCTGCCTCCGGCGTGACCTCATTCACCACCTCACTCACAACATCCTGACCTTCAGAACCTCCCTCCTGCAAGTCCTCAGACACCATCTCAATCACAACACCGTGATCTGAAGATCCTCCCTCCTGAACACCCTCAGACACCATCTCAATCACAACACCCTGACCTGCAGAACCTCCCTCCTGCAAGTCCTCAGACACCATCTCAATCACAACACCCTGACCTGCAGATTCTGCCTCCTGCGTGACCTCATTCACCACCTCACTCACAACATCCTGACCTTCAGAACCTCCCTCCTGCAAGTCCTCAGACACCATCTCAATCACAACACCGTGATCTGAAGATCCTCCCTCCTGAACACCCTCAGACACCGTCTCAATTACAACACCGTGATCTGAAGATCCTCCCTCCTGAACACCCTCAGACACCGTCTCAATCACAACACCCTGACCTGCAGAACCCCCCTCCTGCAAGTCCTCAGACACCATCTCAATCACAACACCCTGACCTGCAGATCCTGCCTCCTGCGTGACCTCATTCACCACCTCACTCACAACATCCTGACCTTCAGAACCTCCCTCCTGCAAGTCCTCAGACACCATCTCAATCACAACACCGTGATCTGAAGATCCTCCCTCCTGAGCACCCTCAGACACCATCTCAATCACAACACCCTGACCTGCAGAACCTCCCTCCTGCGAGTCCTCAGACACCATCTCAATCACAACACCCTGACCTGCAGATCCTGCCTCCTGCGTGACCTCATTCACCACCTCACTCACAACATCCTGACCTTCAGAACGTCCCTCCTGCAAGTCCTCAGACACCATCTCAATCACAACACCGTGACCTGCAGATGCTCCCTCCTGAACACCCTCAGACACCATCTCACTAACAACACCGTGACCTGCAGATACTCCCTCCTGAACACCCTCAGACACCATCTCAATCACAACACCCTGACCTGCAGAACCTTCCCCTTGCACAGCCTCATACACCATCTCAACCACCTCAACACCATGACCTGCAGAACTAACCCCCTGCATGGCCTCAGGTTCCTGCCCTCCCCATGCTGCCAGGCTCCCCATCCCCTCCATCACACCCTCCTGTTCCCCGGGTGCCACCTCTGCACCAGTCTCCGCTCCCTTCCATGTCTCCTGTCCTTTGGGATCTCCTTCTGCCCGGGTGCTCTCCTCAGGTGCAGATTCCCGCACCGCGAGCAGACTCTCCATCAGCAGCACAGCCACGGTGTCCTCCTTGGGCAGCAGATCTCCCACCCGTGCCACTTCTTCTGCCTCTTTGGATCGAGCATCTCCTCCCTCAGCCACAGATTTTTCCTCCTCAAGTGCTTGCTTCTCCCCTTCCATCTGCCCATCTTGTACCGCTTGTTTTGCTGCCTTCTGCTCGTCAAGTGTTCTTGCTCCTTCTACCAAGGAGGCTGCATCTGGTGCTATTAGGGAACAATCAAACATTAGTTTTACTGAGAACTGTGTTAGTGTGAAGGCTGTTTACAGGGTTATCATTAAGGATGTGATCTGACCCGAGCAATGAAGTGACATCGGCATGGTGACGAGAAGAAAACTTGCTGTGCTGTTCTCATCACCCACCATGCTCTGGCTGTGCTCCCAATGCTGTTCTTCTGGTGCCTAGAACACCTCACTGAAGCCAAGACATCAATGCATGACCAGCCTCCAGCTCTGGTGGGCCTGCCTGCGCGCCCTCCTCCCTGACCGGCCTTCTCTGGGACCTCGGGTGCGTGAGCTACAGCTACAGTGACATTCAAACACGCAGAAATAGGTGCAAACCGCTCATGTGAAACAGGCACACACAGGAAGAATCCTCAGCTGCTCCTGCAGAATGGGGAACTGCCCATGGGTGCTGTAATTACACCAGGGCAATAGCACAGCATCGATTCCCACCCCCTGGGAATCCAGTGTTCCAGGATGTGTCCCCAGCCATCACCCCAGCACCCTGTACTGCTGCACCTGTGTTCCATGCAAACCTGGCAGGTTCCTGTTCTTTAGGAGCTGAGAAGTTTTGTGCCACTGCAAGGAGGAAGGAGCAATGTCTTTTCCAAGCCACCCTCTCTCAAACTGGGCAAAGTCCAGGAACAACATGTTCTCTGCCCTGGTCTGTACATCAGAAACATAGATCTTTGTGGAGACCAACACACAAAGACCACTGGGCTTGGAAATTAAATGTTCTAGACAGTTTTTGCTGCCAGCAGAAGCAATATCATAAGAGAAAGAATTACTGAGAGGACAATTATTACTGACAGACCAGAGATGAGAAGGAACCTCCAGCCTCCTGCATACACCTCCTGGATGAAAGACAACAAACCCTACAAGCCTGTTTGTTCTTGGACTATGTAGAGCAAGAAGACTAAAAGGCTCCCAGTTGGCCTGAAAAACACTTGGAACACACTGGATGAATGTACCAATGTAGAAGACCTGGGTCGGAGCACCTGGGTCAGAGCAATCCCAGGCACAGCTACAGGTTGGGCAGTGAAGAGATTCAGAGCAGCCCAAGGAGAAGGACTTGGGGGTGCTGGTCAATGAGAGAATGAACATGAGCCGGCTTCAGTGTGCGCTTGCAAGCCCAGAAACCAACCATATCCTGCGCTGCATCCGAAGGAGCGTGACCAGCAGGGTGAAGGAGGTGATCCTGCCCCTCTACTCTGCTCTCGTGAGACCTCACCTGGAGCATTGTGTGCAGTTCTGGTGTCCTCAGCATAAAAAGGACATGGAACTGTTGGAACAAGTCTAGAGGAGGCCACGAGGATGCTCAGGGGCTGGAGCACCTCTTGTATGAAGATAGGCTGAGAAATTTGGGGCTGTTCAGCCTGGAGAAGAGAAGCTGTGTGGAGACCTCAGAGCAGCCTTCCAGTATCTGAAGGGGGCCTATAGGGATGCTGGGGAGGGACTCTTCATTAGGGACTGTAGTGATAGGACAAGGGGTAACGGGTTCAAACTTAAACAGGGGAAGTTTAGATTGGATATAAGGAGGAAATTCTTTCCTGTGAGGGTGGTGAGGCACGGGAATGGGTTGCCCAGGGAAGTTGTGAATGCTCCATCCCTGGTGGTGCTCAAGGCCAGGTTGGACAGAGCCTTGGGTGAGATGGTTTAGTGTGAGGTGTCCCTGCCCACGGCAGGGGTTTTGGAACTGGATGATCTTAAGGTCCCTTCCAACCCTAACTATTCTATGGTTCTATGATTCAATGAAGACAGTGCGCAACCAGCACTTTAATGCAATATAGAAGACCTATTCTGCCTGTTAGAGGATGGAGGAAGGGAAAGGAAGAGCAATAGCCAGAGCAGACTGAAGTTAGTTTTCACCTCTGGTTTTCTGCTCTTTTCAGCCTCATTGCTACTGTGGAGTGGAATCTTATCATGTCCTGTCCCTGTGGCTCACTGCAGCAGGGTGGCTTTAATGTACAACATGCAAGGCTCTGCTGTCTGCAGCAGTAAGCTGCCAGGGTGGCTGGACCAGAAAAGTTCTCAGTGGGAATCAGGATCAAGTTGAAGTTTCCTCCCTGACAATTACGCCAACTGCTAAGAGGGAGGTGGGCTTGGGAGACACATAGGGAACAGCCTGGGGATCAAGTCTGTCGCTCCTGTCCTTCCCTTTCCCAAGGCAGCCCTGTGCCAGCTGGAAGCGAAGGGAAGCTCACTAGATTCCTGCTTCCCACAGCTGTTCCCTTGACTGGCAGCCAGTTTTCCCATGGCCTGGATTCTTTACCTAGGACCATTATAACTGCCAAAAAAGCATTAATGATACATGGGTACAGAAGGTAGCTAGGCATCACCCCATTGTACACAAGTAAGGAAAGAGCACAAGGAGGGTCTGGAGCCTAGGAAAGAAAAGGCAAACGCTTCTATAAAGAGACTTCAGATGAATAAGATTTAATTCACATCCCCAATGGACAGCTGACCTCACCTTCACTGTCACCATGCTCTGCACTTGTTACGTGCTCTTCTTCCTCATCCACATGGGAATCACCAGGTTCAGGTTCGGAATTCACATGGTGATCATTTCCAACTGCCTTTGCCACCTCCGCCTGGGCTGGTTTGCAATCATCAAAAACTGGCACAGGGTTACAAGAAAGCAAGCAAGAGAAACTGTTAAAAAGCAAGAGGAGCATGGAAGTCACTCAGCAATCTCAGCTGACCCCAGAGCTGGAATGCTGGGGCCGGCCCGACCGGAGCCGTGTGAGCCCTCACCAGCAGGAAGGTAATTACAGTTAAATAAAAGAGTAAACCCAAAAGCAGACAACCACTCAGAATGCAAGGGAAGAGCCACGCAGGAGCTCCACTGATGCACAGAGCAGCAACCTTGCACATTTCACAGACAGCGAGGTTGCTTTGCTCTGAGGCTGGTCAACACTCAAGCAACAGCATTGGTTTATAGATATAAAATCATTATTGGTTTATGAACATGGTTTTAAAATGCTATATTAAGCTCCCAACTGCAGTTCTGAGGATTCCCCAATCCCTCAAACTAACACAAGTGACCAAAGACTTGTGCTTAGCTGCAGCTAAGTGGGAATTATTGTGCTCTGTACATGCAATGAGCCTTCACAGCCAAGTCACATGTTCAACGTTATTGTTAAGACTGCATCCACAGTATCACAGTATCACAGTAGGCTAGAGATTGGAAGGGACCTCGAAAGATCATCTAGTCCAATCCCCCTGCCGGAGCACGAACACCTAGATAGTGTTACACAGGAATGTGTCCAGGCGGGTTTTGAATGTCTCCAGGGAAGGAGACTCCACAACCTCCCTGGGCAGCCTGTTCCAGTGTTCCGTCACCCTCACTGAGAAGAAGTTTCTTCTCAAGTTTAAGTGGAACCTCTTGTGTTCCAGTTTGTACCCATTACCCCTTGTCCTATCATTGTTTGCCACTGAGTAGAGCCTGGCTCCGTCCTCGTGACACTCCCCCTTTATATATTTATAGACACTTACAAGGTCACCCCTCAGTCTCCTCTTCTCCAAACTATAGAGACCCAGCTCCCTCAGTCTTTCCTCATAAGGGAGATGCTCCACTCCCCTAATCATCTTTGTTGCCCTTCGCTGGACTCTCTCCAGCAGCTCCCTGTCCTTCTTGAACTGAGGGGCCCAGAGCTGGACACAATATTCCAGATGGGGTCTCACCAGGGCAGAGTAGAGGGGAAGGAGGACCTCTCTCGACCTACTAACCACCCCCCTTCTAATACACCCCAGGATGCCATTGGCCTTCTTAGCCACAAGGGCACAGTGTTGGCTCATGGTCATCCTGTCGTCCACTAGGACCCCCAGGTCCCTCTCCCCTACACTGCTCTCTAACAGGTCGTTTCCCAACCTATACTGGAACCTGGGGTTGTTCCTGCCCAGATGCAGGACTCTACACTTTCCCTTGTTATATTTCATCAAGTTATTCCCTGCCCAACTCTCCAGCCTGTCCAGGTCTCGCTGGATGGCAGCACAGCCTTCTGGCGTGTCAGCCACTCCTCCCAGCTTAGTGTCATCAGCAAACTTGCTGATAGTACACTCAATTCCCTCATCTAAATCGTTGATGAATATATTAAATAATACCGGTCCCAGTACTGACCCTTGAGGCACTCCACTAGTTACAGGCCTCCAACTAGACTCAGCCCCATAGACTACAACTCTCTGGCTTCTCTCCTTCAGCCAGTTCGCAGTCCACCTCACTACCTGATCATCCAGTCCACACTTCCTCAATTTAGCTGTGAGGATGCTGTGGGAAACTGTGTCAAATGCTTTGCTGAAGTAAAATCCCTCCCACTCTTGCTTATGCCTTGCTGGAGGATTATGCAAGTGGCTTTCAAGATAGAAAAACTGAACAAGCTCTCTATGAGCAGTGTTCCAGCTACATACACAGTCCAGTCCCTCCCAAACCTCTCCCAGGAGCTCTCCCCTCCAGCAGACAGGCTTCTCCCTCCAAGTTCTACCAGCTTTCTGTATCTTTCCTTTCCTGTTGCAGTTACTGGCTTAGCCTCTCACACAGATCACTTCCAAGGTTGCTACTGACATTGACTGGCAGCATAAAACCAAACCTTGCTTCTGGTTTTACTGCCGGCTGTGCCCACGAGGAACTGCAGCCCTTCAGGTGCATCTCTGCAACAGCTCCTGCCTTGGTTTGTGTTGTGGCTGTCAGTGTGAGACCTGTGTAATCCCTGTTGCTGCCAGGATGGTGCCGGTGCTCATACATTCCAAATACAGAACAGCCAAGTCCTTGTCCAAAAGGGAGAAACTCAGCGAACTGCTTGTACTTGAGACTTCAGTCAAGCCCAGGGTTCAGGTCTTAGAGGAGACAATCACAACATTTCAGATCTTATTACTGCAGGTGACATGGAGTACACTTCCCAGCTTCATCTACACAGCAGAAGAGCTGCAGGGACACTTCTTCCGTGTCCTGGTTTCTAGATGTTTCTAGAAGACAAGTTCTTCTCCAGGCTCAGTGAGAACACAGACACTTTTCAGTATCTTCACCAACGATCTTCCCAGAAACAGCACTCTTCTCTTCCCACATCCCTGCCTCCCTCTTCCCATGCACACTCTCTGCTCTCACCTTTTCCCCACCTCTCCGCTTTTTCCTATGGGGCTGTTTCTTCCTCCCCTGCTGATTCTGGTTTTCCACCCACCCTTGCCTATGGCATTATTCTTCTTGTTTTCAATTTTGTGTCTATTTTCTCTTCCTCCTCCTCCTGTGGTTCCTCGTACTTCATGCTTACACTCATTGGTCCTACCCCATCAGCACCCTGCATGCACCACCCTTCTGAACAGAACTGTGAGCACATTTCCAAACAACCACTTCAGCCTGGGGACCACAAGGCAGCACAAGCCCCCAGTTGCCTGGGCCACAGCTCCCAAAGGGCAGCGGCAGCTTCACTCCCTGCTCTCCCCCTTCACTGGGGGGAAGCAGTAAGGAGCCATGGAAGCTCAGCAGGGAGGTTCATAAGGTTCCTCCTGGGATCCTGACGCGGTCTCTGCAGTCGTGCGCATCCTGCTCCAGTCATTCAGGGCAGACAAGAAGCTTTCAGCTCCAGGACACCCCTTGGCTGCCTGCCGCAGGGTACAGGCAGCACGTCCTCCCAGCCGGTGCTTTGCCAGGTGCGGTGCACATTTGCTGCTCTGGCTCTAGGGCAGCTGCATGCTCTGCAGTCACTGCCTGTGCAACCTCTACCAAAGGGGGGTGACACGTCAGGGTTCAGGGCCCCGGCAGGGTGACAAGCACTGCTCACAGCACTTCTCTCTTAGGATCAGCAGCTCCTTGTCACAAGGAGCGCAGCAGGACCAGAACACGCAGCAGGACCAGAACACGCAGCAGGGGCTGTCCCAGCTATGTCTATGCTCCTGACAGAGCTGTCATGCTGGGCACTGGGCTGCCCAGGAGCCACCCAGAAGAGCACCCAGAGGAGCACTTTCAACCTTTTGCTTTCTTCACACACGCAGTTTTCTCTGCTGAACACGTTCTGCACTGTTAATGACAGCACTGGCTGTGAGAAACCCTGTCACGAGCAGAGCACGATGGGTCTTGCAGGGGCAAAGCCAGAACAGCACCGTACCCATCTCATCTCAATGGAGGCTGATGGGAATGACCAGTCCCACAGGGAAGTTCATGTGAAAAAGTGAGGGAGGCCCAAGAGCAGACTGAGAACCAGTTCTGCGCTCCCAGTAAAGGGCTGAGCTCTTTTGACCCTGGTATCTCCAGGGGCTGCTAATCTCAGCCTGTTGCAGGGCTGGAGTAGTGGGAGGTGTAACCATCAGGCGTTTCCTAGCATCACAGAATCCCAGACTGGTTTGGGTTGGAAGGGACCTTACAGCTCCTACAGCTCCAACCCCTGCCACGGGCAGGGACACCTTCCACTAGAGCAGCTTGCTCCAAGCCCCTGTGTCCAGCCTGGCCTTGAACACTGCCAGGGATGGGGCAGCCACAGCTTCTCTGGGCACCCTGTGCCAGCGCCTCAGCACCCTCATTAGATCTCCCTACATTTTGCATTAGAATATCACGGCAGCCACTGTGCAAAGTGCCTGGGATAAGCCAGGATTCCCATATTGCCTTTATTACCCCACCGTATTTCTTTAGCAGGCCCATTATACCTCAAAAAGTGTTATCTTTTCCTTTCACTGCTCTCCACACAGTTTCTTGGCAACTCTTTATTTACTATAAAATTTACCTAGACAAACTTCATGTAGACAGGGAAAAATCTATCTGCAACTTAGGAAGATGTTCCTGTCTGCAGCTGTCATGAGTCAATGACTTTTCTTGCCCTCTCTTGATCTGCACTGTCCCTGAGTCTCAGGTAGTCTCCTGGCAGCAGAGATGATGCAGGACTTGATCAAGAAGTGAATTCTGTTACATTCAGACTATCTGTATGCGATAGGGGATCTCTGTTTAAACCTAGAGCCATGGAACCATGAGTGCTTGATGTGAGCACAAAGGAATTCATGCCACCAAAGAACAACACTATTCTCTTGGCTAACTCAGTGCCAGATTACCAGCCTGGCACATCCGATGGGTCTTTCCTTGGTTTTCTACTACAGCACAATCTCTGTCCTCCAGGTTTTTAAAGTTCCTTCTCCTTCAGCAGTCCTCACCCAACTCATCTGAGCCTAGAGGAAAAGGTGCTGAGACTGAAGTTTCTTTCCCACAAGGGAAGAGAAGGGTTCCAGAAGCAAACTTCTTTGAAGACTTCAGCACTCTTCAGTGACTAGTGTGTTACTGTCACTGTCTCAATTCTGATTGCATAGCAAAGCAAGAGTAATGCACAAGACAAAGTAACCCAGCAGCAATGGACTTGCCAAGCATTAAGCACCAGCAGTCAAACTGTTTATTCCACACACAGCTACCTTGGATGCAATGCTGTAAACAGCCATAGAAACAGAGCCAAAACCTGCTGTGACATAAAGGAAAAGCATTCTACATTCCACTGCAAACCCAGCACACAGAAAGACAACTGGAAATTCCATCTACCATGGCCTGTGGCTGTCCCTTATGTCAGCACCAGCACAGATGCTGTTCTGCCTCATTTAACAGTATCCAACACATTTCCCCATGACTTGGATGGCATTGCAAAGCAAGGCTCACATTTTTTCTTATTCCCCAGATATGATAATGCAAACCTTGCTCATGTGGCAAACCTCTTATTAACTGCCCATGAAGTTTCCCTGGAAGGTAAGGTTGAAACTGCACAATGCCCATTTTGTCAACAGTAGAAACAAGGTGTCACAACTGATAGATTTACTCCTTGCCAATAAGTCCATGCCAGAGTGAAGCAGCACAACCACGGATCAACTGACAGTCTAGCCTTCATCTGCTGCACCAAGATTCCCAGGGTAATTTTTAGTGTTATTTTTGAGCTAGCATTTTGACAGTATAAACTGTCCTCCAGTTGGCACACAGATTGGGTTACATTGGCAACACTAGAAAAGAACCAATAACCCAGGCGACATTCTGGGTGGTTATTTATCTCACAGCAGCACAGAGCATTGCAGAAGCTTGAAACCAGTTCAGCAGTGGCATTCCCCATGCTGCACCACGAAGGAGTACAAAGCTAAACACAGCAACCCTTGTATGCACCAGTCACTCACAGTTGTGGCAGGGACTGTACTCACCTCCTCCTTCGTCACTGCGAGGATCCTCATCATTGCTGTCCTCCACTTCTGTCACACTGCTTTCCAAACGCACTAGAACACCTTCTTCCCCATCACCTCTCCCAGTACTGGTGTTCTCCTCATCTTCCCCTGTGTCACTTTGGACTGACGCAGCCTCGTCGAGTTCCCTGTTAACTTCAGGACTTTTATGCTGTACTGCTGTTGTATTTTCATGAAAAATTCCATTGTCTCCCCTTGCTGTTAGATCTGGTTTTGCCTTTTGTGCTCCATCTATCCCTTCCTCTTCCAGTACAGAAGTTTCCTGATTTTCCTCCACTCTGTGCAGTTTATTCTCCCCATTCTCATTTCCAAACTGTTCATGTGCTGTGTTATTAGATGCCCTTTCATCGTTATGCTCCTCTTTGCCCTCAACATCATCTTTCATTGTTTCAGCACGAGAGTCATCTTCGCTGCTGTACTGGGTGCTGACGGATGAGAGAGAGTGCACAGGCCTCCCACCTAGAAACAGCAAACAGAACTTTGGTGTAGCATTTGTCACTACATCTGCCTTCATTGGCCACTAGTTCCCTTTGCTGTGCACAAAGGGACAGACACTCATCTGGTATCAGCCTCTGAATCGCACCATCTGAGGGTATTGTGGCAAAACTCCAGTAAGGGTAATAGAAGAACACTGCCCAGATGTATCAAAGGGTTAAAGTCAAAGCTATTTAGCATGTTTTTTTCTGACAACAGAAATGAACCAGATTAGAACCATCAATCACACAGAAATACACTCCAAAAGCACCCCTAAAATGTGACTCAGAAAAGTTTTCAAATAGGTTCTTGAGTCCCAACAATGGAACTAGAAGTTGCTACGGAAGTTGCTTGAAATATTTCCATGTAAACTATTTCTAGAGAGCAAGAGTCCTCCATCCAAATGGAAAAATCTTCTTGTCCTCAGAATTACCAAGAAACCCTTAGTTTTTATAGATTTACTGGTACAGCTCCATTGGGAAAAGCCCCCACCTTTTTTATCTCTCTATCTCTTCTGAGCTATGGCAGAAAACAACAGGAGAAAGATTTCATTACAAAGAGGAAATATAAAAGATCAACAGATAGGAAAGAGGAATGAAAACTCCTGGGATTTGTGTTCAAGGTATCACTGCCCAGAGGGAAACAATGTGAAAAGCTTATTTTCTTTAAAGAATCTGGATAAAACTAGATGAGGACTCAGTGCCACCAGGTAACAGCAAATAGACCTCTGGGAGATGATGAACCTTTCCTACACTATTCAGAAGGAAACACCCTGCACCAGTTTGGGTTCCACTCTTTACTGGCTGTAACACATTCTGTGCAAGCACCAAGAAGTAGATACCAACTGGTTTCTGGATACTTCTACCACCCCGAGCACAGAAACCTCTTGGAACATTAATCACTTAATCCAGAACAAAAGATCATCCTGGCCTTCAAACTTAAATGCAAAGTCCCTAGAAATCCAAAGCTTTAATGATCTGAAATGTCTCACAAAGCTTGCAGTGACCTTAAACCATCCCTATCTGATCTTACAGTCTACCTTTTACCAGTAGTAAATAAGGACTCAGGAGCTCCCTTCAGGCTTCCTGTCCTGAGAAGATAAATGTTGGAAGCACTGCTCCTCTTGTTGACAGTGTTTTACACCCATGAGGAGCAGTCACGCAGCTCCGAGCACAGAACAGATCCATTCACAACATAACATAAAGGCTCTTCCATCAGTATCCTTAGCTCCTAATCCATGCGTCTCTCATTACTTATTGTACTGGCATGTTTAGACTTCTAAAAGCCCCCCTGGCTCCCCACCTGTTATTTGGTAACTGCTCCTTACACAAAATACCGAATGCCAAGTCAGAGCATTACCTGTCTCTTCCTACAGCCTCAGCAAAGAGCAGGGATAATGAGGTAAGGGCAGCTCCTCTGCCCCCTTTCTCCAAAAGTGACAGTGGAAGCAGAGCTCACTGACTGTTCACAGCTCACGAGTGATCAGAGAGAACAAAAACCAAGACTCTCTGGGGCCACGGCAGTGATTGGTTTTATAAACCAGGATCTTTCAAACCTGATTTCACACTCTGGTGGATTTTGTACTTCCTGTAAAAAGCCTGGACCTTTCTTGCAGCTGCAACCTTGTCACAAGCAGCTGGATCACCTCTGCTTAACTCACCCACAAACACAAATGTGAAAGTAGTGTTTCCATTCACCTTGAGAAACAGTGCTCACTCGCTCAAGTGTTTAGAGCTAATTTGCTGACTGGCTCCATCTCCATTTCTAACTAGTTCAGCAAAGCCTGCTGTGAGCTGCCACACACACACCCTGCCACTGGGTTTGGCTGTATGTCAGTGACAGAAGGTAGAATTAGTAAGAGATAAAACAGTTATCTTTTACCAATTCCATAGGAATTGCATGGGTTTTCCTATCAACAGATGTACTGGATATACATCAGGTCGGCTTCTCCAAGCCTCGTTACAAAAAACACTAACCTTGTTCATCATCCTCAGAGCTGCTGTCGGAATACCCATCACTTTCATCCTCCTCGCTGTCAGAGGTCTGCAGTGCTTTCTGTGATGAGGTTTTGCTCTCATTTTCATAGTCTAAATTATGGTTTTTATCATCTGAGGGTGACTTTGACATCCCATTCATTTGATCATTGGTCTGTCCCTCTTCATTAACTTCCTCATCTGCTTCAAAATCTTCATCATACTCTAAAATAAAAGAATCACAGTGTGAGACAGGAAAAGAACTTCACAACTAAAGTTCTTTTCAAGCAGTGGAACTTCATTAATGCCCCCTTGCCTTTGCATTTGCTCAGTCCTTTTAAAGCCACGAGAAAATCTAAGACCACAGACAGGAATCGTAGGAGCGTGTTATCATAAAAAAGCATCATGTTCTTCATAGGTAGAGCAGCAAAAGTGCAGTAAAGCTACTGAATGGCACCAAGTATGATTAGTACATTAAACCCAAACCAAACACACTCATTAGTCACTGGAAGGGCTGGGAAAATTAAGTGCTGGGCAAACTCAGAAATAGAATGCAAGACAGTCTCATTACAGGAGAGAAACTTGTGATGAAAAAAGAATACAAGCACTAGAGAAAGCTGGGGAAGGGTAATAAATTGTCGTGTCCAGGAAGATGATCATGGGTTCACATGGTTAATTAGCAAAGAAGAGGCATACAAACTAAATGAATTTATTAAACCCAGCCAAAGGCTGCTGCAGAGGAACAGCCTGTATCACACTGTTCCAACACACTCTTCAGGTCCCAGGTAAAGTACAGATGAAGCTTAGGGCAGTTTTACACCAGCAGGTCTGGGTTTCATACCAGGCTACTACTGGCCCGGCAAGGTGCGACATCTGATAGACACCTTCCCTTTGCTCAGGTCTACAGACAAGGGCTGTCCATGCACTTGCACTGGAGAGCCCTTCTACTCCCAGGCCAGGCTGTGCTGTTGGAATGCACAGAGATGTTTGGTGCCATTGAAACCCAGGATCGTCACTGCCGCCACCAGCACACTGCATGCAGCAGGGACCCCAACAGCGCAGGAGTGCTACAGTGCTGCCACCAGCTGTTCCTCTGCCACAAAGCCTCACTGCGCAGAGCTTATTGCTCACTGCTCTTGTTCCATCGCAGCTTTTCAGTACGGGAGTGACAGAATGCCGAGGACAGAGATGAAGAGTACCGGATGCAGAACCAATCAGTCAAATAAACCATTACCCAGGCAACGAGAATTACGGGAATAACATTTATCTCTGTATCAAAAATCAATTGAGATTCCAGCTGCCCTGCTGGGAGCGAGACCTCTGCGGGTAACTGAGAAAGAAGCCCACCTCCTGAGGGAGAAAGGCTCGATTAAAGACACACATCCGCAGGGAATAATGAGGACGCTGCACAGCAGCACTGCAAGGGGAGCAGGGAAGGCGAGAGGTGAGCTGCAGAGCTGGGGCACAGGGATGAGCTGCTGGAGGCTGGGGCCGTGCCCATGGTGCCTGGGGCAGTGCGGGAGAGAAAGGGCTGGAGGAGCCCCGGTGAGCAAGGCCCTGCCCCCTGCCCATGGGCAGGAGGGAGACCGAAGGGCTCCATCGGGAGCTCCATCGCGCTGACGCTGCTGCTCCGCCGGAGCACCCGGCCTCCTCCCTCCACAGCCCATCCCCACCCGCAGCACAAGGCTCTTCCACCTCCTGCCCCCGTGGCCACCGTCTCCGTTCACTGATGTCCGTCTCCGTTCGGAGCCCACCCAGCCCCAGCCCTCCCTTCCGCTCCATGCATCCTCCACCAGCTGCCATCTCCTCCCTCACCATGCCCCATGTGCCTTCTGCTTTCTCACACCTCAGGCTCCCGTTTCAGCCCCACAGACCCTCCTTCCTGGCTCTGCAAAACCTTCTCGGCCTGATGCTTGGCCCAAAGGAACCCCACAAGTTTCATTGCCCAGACATGGCATCACCCCATTTCTCACACATGAGGCATCCTAAGAGAGGATGCCTCAGGCAAAGCTGGAGGCACGCAGTCCCATGCCTTCTCCAGAGTCACCCTCTCCCATTTGTCACCCCTTGCTTGTGTTTTGGAATACTGTACCATTTTTAATGGTGTCTTCCTGACCATCTTCCCTCTCACTATCAGCTGACTTTTTCATTTCTTCTTTTCCATACTCCCGTTTGGTCTTCATTTCACCCCCAGCAGTTTCCACAGTTGCTTCATGACTTGGCAGGATGACTAACACTGAATTTCTTCTTGATTTCTGCTCAACACGGCTTTTGCTTGGCTCACTATAGGCTCCATCTCCCCAGAAACCCACATACTTTTCCTCATGGTCCTCCTTCACCTTCCTCTTGGGGGGGGATGGCTCTTTGTCCAGACCCATTGCAATAATGCACCTATAAAAAAACAGTAAATATCATGCTTTTCTTTCTGTGAAGGATGGGAGGGCAGCAGATGCAGTGAACTGTTCAGCCACTGCCAACAGTGAAACCTGGTGCCTCTGTACTGCCCCTTACACAGCAGGGGTAACAACCCACTTGGAGAAGCACCCTGAGACCCTCAGGAGCTCCACTAACACAGATGCAGCCCTTCTTGAAGGAGAAGACAACTAAAGTATAAATAGATTAAAGGCAAAGTGTCATAGAATCATAGAATAATTAGGGTTGGAAAGGACCTTAAGATCATCTAGTGATTTCAAGCTACACCAAGTATAAAGATAGAACCACTGGGAAAGGCAGACAAGCTCTGAGTCAGACATGCTAGACTCAGACCCTGCTGTAATACCCATAAAGCAGGAACTCAGGTTTTGTGGATAAGACTGTTTGGGGGGTTTTATTTGTCTGCTGGGTCTAATGCCTGCAGGGGAAGAGGGAAATTGAAACTGAGTTATCTGCAGTTTCTGTTCTGTTTTGCCTATGTAACAGCAACCCAAATAGCTGGAAAACAAAGCATTTTGGATGACCTGTTGAGACTGCTCCTCCTGTATAAAATGGAGTGACAGCCTTTGTGTCTTATAAGTTAGGAGGCTCATACAAGAGACCAGAGTCCCTAATCCTGATTAATATTAACTGCAGACACCAAGAGCCACCCTACAGCACCCATGGGTGCCAGGACATCATGCTGGATGTAGTACAGAGACTCAGATCAGCAAACAGAGGATGAAGCTGAAACTGGAACTTTCACTGTCTCTCTGGAGTGAGACAGTGACTCTGTCTCACTTTCAAGTCTCTCTGGAAAACCATATTTTCCTCACAGACAACAACTGTGTCTTAAACCGTTTTTCCTTTCCTTTCCCTGACTGCAACTCTGCTCACATTCCAGCTGTTGATGAACTACTGTGAAACACCCCACAGTCATCCAGTCCAGAAATGTTTTAGTTCTGAGTGAGGGCATAAAATGTAAACCTGACAATTTCTGAAGAGTCCTGCCTTGTAGTTATTCATTCCTGGTATTTTGTTCAGGGACCTCGAAGATACTGATGGAGTTCTGCTGGACCTAGGCCAGCACAAAACTCTCAGTGCAAGGACCACAGCATCAGTGTAGAAATCACTGCGGCATCACCTCTTTGTGAACTAAAGCCTGAACCCAACAGGGCAGATCAGCTGGCATCTTTGCTGAGAATCAGAGCGGGTATCTAATGTGTGGATGTGGTGTCATATTTGAAGCAGAAACAAATACTAGTGCATTTGATCTGAAGATGTGAAAATAGCTGTCATGCACAGGGAGAATGTAGTTAACGGAGATGGGCTTTAGTCACCAGATAGGGTTGGCTGGACAAGACAAGAGACAGGAAAACAGAGGTATCGCTAAGTATAAGAGGGGAGGTGGGACAGGAAATGGGGGCAACTCAGAAGGAAATTATCCAGTTTCTGGAGACTACATTAATTCAGAAAATTCAACTCAAATCTTTCCAGAAATCAGACAGAAACAGAGATTTGGGCATTTCCTGAGCTCTGGAGGCACTGTGTCCGTTCTGAACTCGGGTTGTTTTCACTGCTTTGAACATACTAAGTAATACATCTACACAAATCATGTTCAGTGTTAGACTGGAGTCAAAAATAATATGGCACAATAGAGAAGGCTTGAGGCTGTGCAAGCTGACAGACCCAGTGCAGCCCCTGCCCACTGCTCTGCTGCTCTACAGGGTGACTGCACAGAGGCAGATGGCTTTGGTGGCATCCTGGGCTGTGAGACCCTGAGGGATAAGCTCCATTGTGCTTTCAAGGAGCACTGAGAAAGAGACAGGTTCTACAGAGCTCTGAGGTGCCAGATAGAAAAAAACAGAGGAAACAAGCGATAAACTCTCTGAAAACTGGGCTGCTGAGTTCTTGTGAGCAAAGTGCATTCATCTCCGTACCTGTAGCAAGGAGATGCTCCCTCCACGTGGAGAATTGCGAAGGACCCATGTTTGCCTCCCAGCCTGGAACGTTTCTGATGCTTGTACTCACAGCAGCAGCTCAACCTGTCCACTTGTATCCCATTGAGGAAAAAGGTGAGGCTGAATGGGAAACCACGGTGCCTCTTTGAGATGAACTGAAAGGTCTCTGTAATCACAGAAAAGGTTCAGAGAAAAAGGTTGTGCTATACTGGGACTTACTTGGACAGGTCTTGGACCAAGCTGCTCTAGTGGAAGGTGTCCCTGCCCATGGCAGGAGGTTGGAACTGGATGAGCTTTAAGCTCCCTTCCTACACAAACCAGTCTGGGATTCTACCATACTGTCAGCACTGCAATGGTTTTATCTCACCTGCACCACCACTAAAGTACCCAGCCCTCTGAGGTCAGGTACACTGTTCTCAGCTGCATTAAGTAGTTGATAAAACTCTGCCTCCTCCTTACACAGCAGCCTTGTCTCTTTCCAACCCAGAGAACCAAGCTAGACACATCTGGGACAAGCAAATACGTCCCCAGTTTGGCCACTCACTGCTACAGTGGAACAGACACCAGAGCTCCCACCTCAACAAGGTGAACTCTTGACTTAGGAGGGTGCACATTGTGCACAGATTGTTCAGGCCTCAAAGAACCATAAACTCCTGGAATGGTCTGGGTTGGAAGGTACCTTAAAGCTCATCATCAACCCATCATCATCCCTACCAGCCATGGGTAGGGACCCTTCCCACTAGCCCTCTCTCCTGTCTCCACAGCAGAGGTGCCCCGTCGATGCACCATCTTCCACACCCAATGAAAGTGCAAACACAGACTCAGAGGGTCCTGTAGCTGGAATGAGGGGTACAGCCTGTGGAATCACTCTTCTCTATAAGTGAAAATCTCCCAGCCATTTCGTCTTCCCAATTTCCCAGAACACAATTCACCTTCTACTGGTGTGATGGAACTCACATAGAAGAGATGGGAATTGGGCTCCTACTACATACTTTTCTTTGTGGAATAATAAGCAATATCCATGGATGTATTATAAAAAACCCCTCCTTAAGGACAGTTCAATGCTACAATTATTTACATTATTAACTGTACATCTTTATACAAAATTATTCTAAGCTAGAGCATTTTAAATCAGTTCTCTAAATTCCTTCCACCAGAATCTGAAAAAGTAACCTCAGTTTCAATCATGAAACAGTAGATCCAGATGTAGTGTGAAGGCAGATGGTACAAAAACCCCTGGAAGCACAGATCTTGACTGAGCTCAGCTGAAATCAGTTTGATACCGCATCAGTATTCTAGCCCCCAAAAAAGGATGTTGCCAGCATCAATACGAGCAGTCTGATTGCCCATCCTTACCTCCTGCCATCAGCCTGCCTTTGTAGACACAGAGGTTCTCTCCTCCACAATGCTGCTGATAGACTTTGATTTCATCCCTGCAATCAGCATCATCGTGAGATAAATGCACGCTTTTTCCCAGGAAGATCATGGTAACGCAGGCGTTGCTGCGGAGCGGGGACCTGGGGAAGCCTCCAGCGGGCTGCAGCGGGAAGGACACAGAGAGTGCATCAGGCTCCAGCTCTGACACAGGTGAGCACAGAGGAGTACGTGCCGCATACACGGGGGGCTTCCCATCTGCAGCACAGGCCTTGAGCTGCTTCAACTGGGAAGTGGTTTGTAACGTGCTGAAGGGCAGGAAAAGGTTTTGAACTGAAAATCCACTGCAGTGAATTGCCCAAAATGTCAGGACCGCGTTAATGACCCACGTCGTCCCTCCCAGTCCTGGGTTCCCAACAGTTGCCTTTACAGGTATCAACACTGTGTGGAGATATAGTGCAACAGATGGAGTCTTCATACATGGAAGGCATTTCCTATACCCCTCTGAAGTTCTGGTACCAATATGGTCAGAGCAGAACCAGATTGACTAAAATGGAAGGGTTAAGTAAGAGGTTTTGTTCAAGCACCCTTTCACCCCTCCACTGATGAAAACACCAAATGTTTTAGTAGAGGGAGATGGCTGGCAGTTAGATATTTTAATAGTTATAAATACTTTTCCTTTCAAAAATTCAGTGAATATTTATGCAAACTAGTTACACACATCTTTCAGCACTGGGCAAATACACCAATGAGGAAGGTAATATGCCTCTACATTAACAGAAAAGCAGTGAGAGATAACTTACCTTCTTTGGAGGCTGCTCTGCATCACTGGGTGCAGTGGCAAGATGAAATTGTCTCCCTCTGGGCATCCCATTCCTCTCTGCATTTAGGCCCCTTTTTTGCAGGCGAGGAGGTGGCACTGGCACCACATAGTTGTTGATGGCAGGGAGTTGATATGGGGATACACCAGTCACACACTTCACTGAATTCAGAAGTCTTGACCCATTCCTCTCCTGCTGCAAAACATTTACCCAGATTAAATAGGTACTGAGCACAGTGCACCACCCATGCTCAGAGTGCTCTTTACATTTAGTAACACACATCTTTCTAGAACAATTCTTTCACTTGGTGCCTGCAGTTTTGTTCATGAAAACATTTCTGGGCTAAAACCCTTCCTTCTAATTAGCAAGGCGACAGGCAGATGGCTTGAAAATGTCACCCTCATATATATGATGTATATCTAGTTGAAGATGTCCCTGCTTATTGCAGGGGGGTTGTACTAGATGACCTTTGAAGGTCCCTTCCAACCCAAACTAGTCTATGATTCTATGATTTCATACATATATATATATATACCATCATCCTATGATGATATATATATAACATCATAAACCATGTACTGCTTGTAACCGTGCAGAGTCCTGCCCACAAGTAGACAGAAGACTGCACAACTCCACAGCACTGCAGTGTTCTCTCAGCACCCAAACTCCAAGGCAGCCAGAATCTTCCAGCAACATCATCTGGCATCAATTATCCAAGATGTGGTTCAAAACGCCCCTTTCCCGTTTGTGGTGGAGGTTTAGTCATCCTTCAGGACAAAATACAAACAGAGGAGCTGAAAGGCAAGACATCTCCAGTGCAAGTGCTGCATGCTCTGTATCTGAGCTCTGCATCACCTTCACAATCTGTGACTGACTCAGCTGCCTTGTCAGTAGTGGGCACTAAAGAAGCTGTTTAAATCGCCCATAATTTGAGTACACAGAGACAGTGACAGCAAATTCTTGGAGAAAGAATCATGATCATCGCAATACAGGGCAAATGCATGGCAGAATAGGAACTATCTATACAGTGTCTGCCAGTCAGTGGCTCCAGGTCACAGGCTCCTTCCAAAACCCTTGAGTCCCACAGAATCCCTAACACAAAGCCAACTAAAGAATGTTTTTTCTAGACCAGAAGACAAGGCCAAATCTCAGCTGAAAGTAGCTGTGTGCACATTGAGATCACATCTGGCTACTCCACCAAGCTCTCATTCTCTGAACCCACCGGTTTCCTTAGGAGGAGGAATGGCAAAAGAAAGAAAGGATTTTTGCCTACTTTACAGCTGTAGATGAGAATGAAAACTTGTAGGACTGTGTGAAAATATTCCTGAGTCACTGATGTTAATCATGTGCCTCCCTCTCTACGCAACAGAAAGTCTATGTAGAGGGGGAAAATTCTGCATGCAGAGAGATTTTACGCTATAAGAAGTCACCACATTTTTCCTCACTGTGATCAAGCACTGGGCATTAGGCCAGTAGGACAATGCCATGAAAACTAAGGGGAGGTTAAAAAGGAGGGTTTAAAGGAAAGTTGACTGCCATTGGGAAGGCACGCTGCTGGCAGCAGAACTGCAGCACCAAAGCAGTATTATAAAGCTGTCGCCAGCATTAGGTCATTTTCAGAATGAAATGTGGCCTCACCCTGGTGACAAACTGCTTGACACATCTCAGCACGTGGCACCTGTGGCTAGAGCTTGAAGTCTTTGGTAGAGACCCCTCTGCAGCGCCGCTGCGAAGCTGCTGGAGGCGAGGGGGGTGCTGCATGTTCCCTGGAGCTGTGTTGGGTCGCCAGGAAGTCTGGAAAAGGAAAAAGGAAACAGCCGTGAAACCTCAGTGCAGTTTCCAGTGCAGAGCAGCAGCTGAGAGGGAAAACAAAGACAGCAACAACAAGATCTTGGGAAGGGATGAGTGACTCTCAAGTACCTTCAGGAACAGACCTTTTCTAGGCTGTCCCCAAAGAGCCAGACCCCTTCAGACATCTCTGAGCATCCAAAAACTGGAGCATCCAAATTAACTCTTAGCTATAAATACAGGGTTTGCTACTGGCTCTTCACAGTGCAGCCCTGATGTGAACAGAATGAACTCACAGAAGCTGTAATGGTGTGCCTGTCTCGGTGACTTCAGCACACGGACACTGACAGAATGCATGACACAAGCATGCCTGGGTTTGTTCAATGTTCAGGATTTTTCCGGCTTTTTTATTTCATCTCTTCCTTGTATCCCCTTCAGAATACCTTCAGAGTTCAAATGCTGTAACTGAAATGCTGTTTGGCTGAGTTAACTCACCACCATAGAAAAGTCAGGCTCCTTGGACTGGTGATGAGGAGGAGGATGTCCACCACTGTAATCACAGTGTCCAGGTGCCCTCTGTGTGGAGAGGGGAAGGTCAGTCAGGACTGAAAACCTCTCTTCATTCTGCACCAATTATCATTATTGAAAGGGAAACCAGTTAAAAGTGAACTTTCACCTTAGACTTCAGTATCATTATATTCAAGGGTATATCAACATTCCTTCTCTGCCTGTTAACAGACAGCAAGAGGCTTCTGAGCCAGAGCTCCAAAGTACAGCCTTGCTTTGGAGTGAGCTTTAGTCTTACTTCACTCCTTCAGCTCTGTTTTCTGAAAAAAAAACATTGCTCTCAGGATCTTACACCATGTGTAAACTTCCCCATAGCCCAGCATTCGTTGACAACACCTGAAGTACTGACACTGGCCTGACCTAGGGTGGCAATGCTGAAAAAAGGGAAAGGTTAAAGCAGAATTATCACAAAGCAAAGCTGTTTTTTTCCAAGGTTCTGATGTGTCATTCCTGCAACATCAGCTTCTTGAGATTCCTCTTTAATGGCACAATCTTGCAAAGAGGAAATCAGCCTCAAGTGGTAAAGAACGAGGCCCTAATCTGGAAAAACCAGTGCTGTCAGTGCTCTAGAAGCAGAGATGGCCCAGGTATACCTGCACGCTTCCAACTGTGTGTACCTATAGCACATGGATCAGCGGGAAAACTTACCAGTTGTGAGTGACCAGCTGGTTCTTCAGCCACAAAAGGATGGAGCCCATAATGATATCTTGGAGCAAGTGGTGGATGCGGGAAGTGCATAGGGTTGACACCTTCCACTGATCTTCTGAACTGCTCCATCTAAAAGAACAGAAATTTACATCTCTGAGGTACTATGTACCCTAACAGCAGTGTCTGAGCCTGCCTTCTGTCTGTCCTTCAATGGAGAGCTGTGAGATCAGCTTGTCTGGGCCCGATGCAATACCTGCTTAAGGAGGGAAAAGAAATCATGCGGAGAATAAGAGAGAGACAAAGGAAAAGAATTGCTCCCACCTCCAATTCATTTCCCTGCAGCCCTCTGCAGCTGCTGATCCCCCCAGACTCAAGCCATCTGCCTGTTTCTCTGTATCCCTGAACTCTTGGTTTGGGTGAAGGTCTCTTCAAGGTGAATGCACCTGCCACTACCTTGCTCTGGCTCTTGCCCCTTCCTACGTTTTCTCCTCAAAAGCCCCACACTGGGCTGACTGCCCTTCTGGAAACAGATAGCTCTGTCTGTCCTCCCCTGCTCAGTCACCGGCTTTTCTCCTTTCATTTTAGATGAGCTACTCAGACCAATTGACTGAATGTATGAGGTGAGAATTAAGTTACACTGCTAATTCCAGCCAGGTTCCTGCTCCCAGTGTGGCACCACAGCAAAGACACAGATCACGGATCTGCAGGCATCTCCCTTACACTTCTTAGTGAAGGACGTTTTGGTTTATGTTCCCAAGATATCCAAGTCCAGCACCCCTTGGCAGAGTGCTTTGATTGCTGCCTCCACTGCAGTGACTCTCTACCAGCAGCAGTGCAGTCAGTGCCTTTGCAATTACCACAATCACTAGTGGCTTTCATTAAAATCTTTCCCTTTCTTTACCTGATGAATTGCTCAGAAATGTATTATTTAAAATTAAGAAGATTTGACATTGGTTTTCAAGTGCTCATAGCAGCAGCTGGGTTCTCCATGCATTCTTCTCAATGCATGCAGGATCCTGATAGAGAAATAAGGTGTTGTGTGTATTTCAGCCAAGATGAGAACAAATTTCCCCATATGAGTCCAAGTGACTCATACAGACACTTGGGAGAAGAGCCATTGACCTCTGTGGGATTTCCATGCCTCTACCAACTACAGAATCAAGCCCTACCTACATGACACCAAAGTGAAGACTTCTGAAGCTATTCTTCATTATTCACATTCAGGTTCTGCTAAATATCATGTTGAGAGGCAAAGGACTGAAAACATGAGCTCAGTGCTCATTGTGTCTAGAATTACCAGAACCGCTACACGTGTCTTGTATTATTCATTGTGGTCTGGTTCCCCATTTCAAAACAGAAACAGTAGAACTAGAAAAGGTAAAAGTGACACAGTAATGAGAGGCCTGAAAGGCTCATGTATGAAAGAGTCAACAGGCTGAGGGTCTTCAGCTTGGAAAACTGAGAAGGAATATGAAAAAGGTATGTGAAACCACACATGCCTTGGAAAAGGAGAACAGTTATTAATTTTTTTCATAACAAGAACAATGGAGCATCAACCAGAACTGTCAGACAGCAGATACACTAATAACTGTGCACAAAGGCAAGGGAGTACCATTTCATACAACTCATCATTAAATTCCACAGGCAAGGACACTGCAGAACCAAATAGTAAGTAGATTCAAAAGGAATTAGGTGAAAGAAGAGAAGTTCCTGAACTGCTGGATAGAAAAAGGATCATCCTCTATCTCCCCAGTTCTTGCACTTTTTCCACTCACATCAGGGATAAAAGACTTGGCACAGTGAATCTCTGGCCTGACTCGTGGCTGTTATTTACCACAGGACAAGAGCACCGTGTCCCATCCGCACTCAGGAGCACTCAAGCCTTACCTTGACCTTCTGCACCCTCTCCTTCCTCGCAGAACTTTCAAGCTGCTGCTTTATTTCCCGCTGATGATGGCGCTATCAATGTAAGAGAAAGAGAAATCTCATTAATGGGTATTATGAGATGAAAATGAACGTAGAAACACTTGCTTCTGTTCTGCTTATCACTTGCCTGCTCCCTGGTCATCACCCTCATTGAGTCCTACTATAAAACTACTACTGATTCAGTGCATTTGCATTCCACCTGAGTATGTTAACATTGGCAAGGGAACAACAGAGCATTTGTAAGGTTGTAGGGACCAACTCCTTTCTTGTCACATAATAGGAACGTGCTGAATTTTGTACGTGGCTAACATACGTAACTGTCTTATCCAGGATCACTCTTATCCAACTATTTCATTTTGACAACAATTTTTTAAGCGAACAATCCCTGTGAATATCATCCCATAATGTGATGACTGCCAACCAACACTAAGTGAGCCAGGACAGTGTATGCTCTAGTGTCACTATGGTTTAATAGTTACAGGCCAGTGAAGGTTTCATGTGGGGGACATCAAGCACAAAGACTGTGCTTATTCCCATCAAGAAAGAGCCTCTCAGGGGAGCACGACAACCCAGCTATGGCAAACAGTTCAGTATGAGTTAACAGCCACTGGCTGTCAGCGGGGAAGCAGGTGGAGGCTGACACATCCCTGAAAACACAGACCTCTATGTCAAGGACCTTGTGAAATATGGCACGAGCCAGGCACTCCTGTACGTATCTCTGGTGATCCCTCCTCAGAGCATTTAGCCGGTATTCCTTCTCAGGGATTATTCTTCCACTCCTTGAGATCTGCCACAAACAAATATAATGTAACTAAAAGGCAGAGTAATGTAATGTAACTAAAGAGTAATGTAACTAAAGGCAGAATAAAGCATGTATTTAACACAGTGCAATTCCCCACAAAGACATCTTTCTCTTTCCACGTAGACACCACCTCTGCTTCTGCAGTGGGCTGGACCTCACCTCCCAGCACAGAGCTGGGCTTTCCTCCGCCCCATGGACCCCAGCAGGCACATGAAGAGAGCGGCAGCAGCAGGCAGGACTCAGCCTTACTCTTCATGGGCCATTGCCCGAGTCAGTGGAGGGGAACTGAATGCCTGTCTTCCTGCTGTGCGGGGGTTGCACTGCCTGTGCTGAACCGTCACACCCAGGAGTGCACAGCTACTGTTAGAAATGGTTCACTTTTACCAAGCCCTTCAGCTTTCCGTGAAGCACTTTTGGAAAATAAAACTGAAGCTCTTTAAAGATCTAATAGAGTCAAAGGTGCTTAGATTGATTTCACAGTGTAACGAACCTGAGAGAATCAAGACAATTCTGCGTATCTGCAAATGGAAAGGTGTTGCAGAGGCAAACTCCAATGACCAAAAAGAAATATGCAGCAAAGCCATAAAAACATTCTGAATTTATCCAAACCTCTCCATGAAATACCTTCTTCTGTCTGGATGTGCAATACAAGATTACCACATGCCATAACCATGCAGTGATACAGTGCTTTATGTCCTAACCTGCAGAAGCTGCTTTGCTGAGCAGAAGCTGGAGGCTCTCCAGCATTTAAATGCATCTTCAGTTCATGCCACCTGCTGCTCCCAGCTTCCCACAAATATGCATGATACGGGTTGCATTGCAGAAGGTGCAGTGGAAGCCTAGTGTGGTATCCTATGGAGTATGGCCTCCAAACCGACTGTTAGCACACTGCTTCCAGTGTGCAACCATCACCCACCAGGACCCACGTGCCAGCAGCTTCACAACCCCAGGTGGCCCTGGGACCCTGGTGTCCTGACAGCCTTGTGCACCACTGCCCTGGCCAGCAGTGGGTGAGGATGCGCTGGGAAATGCTTTGATTGAACAAACCCGGCCCCAGCCCTGGCGTGACTGTGTGGCTTTGGTCTGGCACAGCATAATGCCATGTGCTTGGCTGGCTGGTCAAACTGGCACCAGGGACAACACATCCCTCTAACAAACCAACAACAGAACCACCCATGGCCTGACCGGTGCAACGGTATAACAGAGCATGCTTTTCCTTATTCTATTCTTTTTTTTCCTCATAAAAGGGAACTTTTCAATCTCACCAGTCCCGATCTCTGAAGATGCCGTCTTATCCTGGTGTTGTTGAAATACCCAACCAGGTGTTTGTCTGTAAGGCTGTTGTAGGTTGCAAGATATCTGAAATAAAATCAATGCAGACGCATATAAAGCCCTTGACAGCCAAATTATAACTGTTTAAGTTATAAAGACCTACCCAAAAGTGTGCTGCACAAAACACTGTCTTGATGAATCCCAGTGTTTTGTCAGATAAATACCCATTGCATTATGTAAAAGCAACACCTTATGCATCTGGAAGCTTCATATCAGAAACAGCGACCACTGCCAAGGCACAGGGTCCAGAAAGCCCAGCCCTGGAGGTCTCCTCCAACACTGGCAATAAGCTGACCCTCGGCAGGTCTCCATTGTGCCACACAGGTCCTGGCACACGATTCCTGGCTGAGTCCAGCAGCACAGACTGGCTTCCTGGCACGGGCCCTGCCGGATACCCAAGTGTGCTGCCCACCAGCACCCTGCCCCAGCACACAGCCTGTGCTCCATCCTGCCCTTCTGCACTGGTGACAGACACAGCAGCTCCTGCGGAGACCTGTAGGAATAACTTGGGCTGGAAGGCACCTCCAGAGACCAGAGAATCACAGAGTCATGGAACGGTTTGGGTTGAAGAGACTTTAAAGCTCATCCAGTTCCAACCCCCTGCCATGGTCAGGGACACCTTCCACCAGAGCAGGTTCCAACCTGGCCATGAACACTTAGTTTTGACCTAAAGTGTCCGGAAGTGGCAGTAAGTGAGGTCAAGTTTTTGATACACTAAATCCATTCATATTTGTGAAACGTACGCTCTCAGACATATGGTGCCTGACACGTTCAGCCGAGCCCCAGGCTCTCCAGGCATAAGGTTTTAATCATACAACAAGGGGCTGATCTCTTGTTTCTTTTGGCCTTACATTCAATGCCACTGTACCTCTGTTACGTACCTTCCAATGGAGTAATCCAAAAAGCGTGCTCAAGGGAAGAAAGAACAATTAAAAAATAAATAGAAGGGGTCATGGATTTGCAGGAATTCTGCCTGGGGCTTCACAGTAATCTCACAGGTTGCCTACCAGCACTAAATTAAACCTTACACAAACAGTCCAGCTCACCCCATTGCACATGTTGATTAAACACTCGTGCTGTAGCAACTGTTCTACGTCACTTTTCTAACCCACTCTTTGCATTTGCATTTGAAACAACCAGATTACATCAACTGTGCCAAGTATTGACTTATAGTATCACCGTCAATCGCGTACGGAGGCAAAGGAGAAACTCAACCCAGTTCCTCCTCATTTACTGCCTTCCATCTCGTACTTCACAGACCATATAACTAGTTAAAATGCAGCTTCCACCTGAGCACAGCAATGCAGCAACTTTAAATTCAAAGATGCCTCTTGACATGCATTGGTTTCATGTGAATTATGAACAGGCTGGTTCTCAAAAAGGCTGAGTTAAATTCAAAGTTCAGATGGGTATTGGAGGGAACAAGGAAATGTTCTGGGCCTGAACTAAGGCCCATTAAACCATTGGGAAGAACTCTGGGAGTGGGTCATATTGGCACTACACATGGGCTTGTCCCACGTCCCTCTGGAGACTTCTGGCCCTCTGCTCTGGTGAGACCCCCCTTGGAGTACTATATCCAGCTCTGGAGTCCTGGGTAGAGAAAAGACATGGACCTGTTGGACAGGGTCCGGGGTAGGCCACAGAAGTGATCGGAGGGCTGGAGCACCCCTCCTGTGGGGAAAGGCTGAGAGAGCCAGGCTTGTTCAGCCTGGAGAACGCTAGTCTCTCCCCTAGCAGGTTAAAGCCATTCCCCTTGTCCTGTCCCTACAGGCCCTTGTCCAAAGCTCTTCAGCCACCGTGAGCCATAGCCCATGTCCAAATAAGCTCCTGTCAGGGTCCGCAGAGGGGGAAAAGTAGTCTTCTGCAGAACTGGGACTTGGCGTTAAATCCTGGCGGTAAGGACTGTGTGAATCCTGGCTGGGAATGGCCCAGCATGGGCTGAGGAATGAAAGGATGGTTCAATTCCATCACTGAGTTTGGGATCGTGTCACCCACTCACCAGTGCAGGCATTCAGAGGGCTGCTGCTGTCTTCACTGCACCCTTCAGCACAAATCCTGCACCACCCCTGGACTTCACAGCTCCGGCTTCTGCGGGTATTAACCTCAACAACTGACACAGTGCTTGTGAGGAGCCACTCCAGAACACAGCTGCTGAGCCAAACACTGATGTCTGCAGGCGACTTGGAATCTAGATGGGGCTTTGGAGTCTAACAATAACCAATTGGCTCATTCCAAGCCCACAGGACCCTTATCACATGTACAGTTTCACTCGGTGATAACTAAGGGAGGGAGAGGCCATGGTCTCCTGAAACCACATTCTGTGTCTGCTTGAACATGTGCAGGAAGGAACCCATCGGCCCTGGCTGGCTGCAGTGAGACCACTGCAAGGTCCTTGTTAGCTTGTCACAGTGACTGTCTTCTGTGCCTGTGCAGGCTGGAGCATTCCTGGCACATCTGTGCAGTGAATCCCATCAGTCACAGCACACGTGTCTTCCCAAAACCAGATTAACACCATCCAGTGTCCAGAAGTGCTTTACATGGTGACTACAGTGAGACCATCTTCCAAGAGCAAGCTTGGATTTTGTTTGGAGGTCTACGGATTTCTTCACAAAAGAGGCCCCCATAACTCTTCACAGAAGGTATTTTCATAAAAGAGATTTTCAAACCTTTTTAAACAATCAACTCCCACTGCAGGTTCCAGTCCTGACACTGCCCACACGGGGCTGGAGGGCTCCTGTGCTGCTGCTGTGCTGCAGGGCCGCGGGCGCGCTCCAGCACCGCTTCTTCACCCGGCGCATCGCCCGCTGAACGGGCTGTGTCACGGATGGAGCTCCGCGGATGCCCGGTGTCCCTGACTCCCATCTCTTGGTGCTCTGGAACTCACCCCCGCGGACCCGGGCCGGGACCAGAGCCGGGGCACAGCCGCGGCCGGTCCCTGAGGGTCTCTCTGCGGTGCCTCCAGTCCCGCGCGGGCCGCCGTCAGGGCGCCCGGGCCCCGCCGCTCCCGCAGCACACGGACAGCCAGCCCTGCGGTCACCGGTGAACCACCCCCCCTCCGCCATCCCCCGCACTGGAGCTCCGCGCCCAGCCCCGGCCCCGGCCCCGGCCCCGTCCCGCCGCACTCACCCTGCCTGCGGGCCGCTCATGGCGCCGGCACCGGCGGCTCGGGGCAGGTGAGGGTCCCGCAGCCGCCGCGTCCCCGTCGCTAGGACACGGGGGGCGGGGCTCCCCCGCTGGGGGCGGCTGCGCGGGGCGGGGCCAGGGCCCGGCGGCTGCGCGCTGGCCTCTCCCAACCGCTCCCCCACTCCTACAGCCGGGTGGGCACCGACGGGGGCGCCCGGACCCGGCCGCGGGGGCAGGGGCAGGGGTAGGGGTAGGGGCAAGCCGGAGCTCTCGCCCTCAGCCGCAGGGCAGGGACCGGGGCGCGCACGGGCCCCCATCCCTGCAGCAGCGCCGCCCACACCGCCCGGCTCCGGCCGCAGCCCCCTCGCGCCTCCTGCACCCTGTGCCCAGCGCTGGTCTTACTAAAACAACGCTCCCGCTCCCATGCTCGTCAAGGCCGGACGCTAAACGTTACAGTGCGCAACGCGGCCGGGTCCTGCTGCCGTGTCCCTCCGGTTACCGCTGCAGGGGAGCTGCGAGGCAGCCAGAGCAGAAGAACGACCCTGACACCTTCCGGAGAGAAACCCTCCGCTCACAAACACCCCGGCGCACAGAGCAGCTGCTCTGGGCTCCAGCGCCGAGCAGGAAAGGAGCTGCTGGGCACCGTGAGCCTCTTACCCGCACAATACCCCCGACCTACGGCCAGATTCAAACGATTAAATATTTTATACACTGTACGTCTTAAGGAAAATCTGTACTTTCATATGCACATCATCACCTCCGTGGGCGTACCCACCGTTAACCACTGCTCCTTCATATTAGAAGTTTATATTACCTCGTTCATATTAGAAGTTTTGTTTGAACTCGCAGCGTTCCCAAGTGGAATGGCAGATTTCACACACCACCCCAGCCTCAGCCCGCGCTCTGCCTGAGCGAACGGGAACAATCACACCTTCACCTGAACCACCAGCCAAGGCGGTCCCGACCCACACCCCTACTCCGGGTGAGCCATTCCTCAGCCTTCCACAGAAACGCAGCTCCCTGCTCCTATGGAAAGGGCAGCTACGGGGACACCAGCTGCCCCCCACTGGGGCATCACACAGGCTGTCCCACATAGTCCTGTGCTCAGTAATTAGAATAAAGGCTGAGTATCTCAATACCACCCACCCCAGCAGAAATACAAACACTTAGATTGTAGAGGATTAATAGCAATGGAAAAAAAAAAGTATGTGTGTGTATATATATATATATATATATATATATATCTATCTCTCATCAGGAAAAGTATCTCTCTCTAGATATATATCTATGTAAGATGTGTCTCTATGGTATATTAAAAGAAATGTTTACCTGTAAGTCTCAGTTACCGCCTGAGCAGCAGTCCCAGCTAAATGAACATGGCATCAAGAGAGAACTTCCCACCTCTGAAAGAGCCCGATGTTGCAAACCTGAATCTAGAACTCTGTGTGGCCTCCCAAGAAGCTCATTTCAAACACAGGAGATGCACTGCCACAGGGACCGTACGTTACTCAACCTTGCATTAGAAAAATAATCCCTTCCCTGCTCAACACCAACACCTTGCTCTTTCATCCGAAGTATGAACTGAATCCATTTCACAAGCCCCACTGAAAAGGCCTCCTTTCCTCTCCTGTGATATGTGCCCGGGTTATTGCTCACAATTTCATACTCTTGAAATCCACGCTCATTTCCTCCCCAGCACACTATAATTTGCACAACAATATTTGCCTCCAGGACACCACCTGTCTTGGGCCTCAGCCTCAGTTCCCAACTTGAAGCAGTGATGAAACCTTATGAGACCTTGGTAGTGCCTTTAATAAAACCAAAACACTGATCTGTGTGTAACAGAAGGGCAGAAGCCAGAAACAGGTCTGACACTAGCCTTTGCTACCGTCAACTGCTAACCCAAGGGTGAGCACGAGCATTAGAATTCATTTTAAAATGTAGGAAGAGGTCAATATCTACACTCAGTTATTAACTGAAAAAAAAAAAAATGTTTATTATCTCACATTATCTCAAATCAGAAAATAACACGAAACTGGACAAAGAACAGCTCCAGGGAAGAATGTGGAGATGCTGCCCAGATGTGTAGGGATGGATTAGAAAAGCTAAGGAACAACTGGAGCTGAATTTGGAGAGGGATGCAAAGAACAGCAAGAGCCTTTACAGATATGTTGGCCAGAGAGGGAAGATTAAAGACAATGCACCACCATCCGTAAATAAGACAGGAGAGCTGGTGACAACCAACATGGAGAAAGCTGATGTACTCAACAGCCACCTCTGCTCTGGAGCCAGGCTGAGAGAGCTGGGCTGGGTCAGCCTGGAGAAGGCTCCTTAAGGGGAGACCTGAGAGCAGCTCCAGTGCCTAAAGGGGTTGCAAGAAACCCTCCAGCCTCCTACAGGCAGCCTCCTTTGGACAAGGAGGAATGGCTTAAACCCACCAGAGAAGAGACCGAGATGAGATCTTAGGTAAGAACCGTCAATATAGCAAAGAAAATGCCCTTCCTCAATCAATTTGTATTTAGAACAAGTCAACCATGTAAATACATTCAGTTCTGAAGCAACATGACTTCTGAGCACCCCGTGCAGCCTCTGTCTCTGCACTGTAGCCAGGGATTCAGGGCGCTTTAAATCTGGCAAAGGTCAAATCAGGGCTGGACAGCTACTGCGGAGTAGCAGCTATTAGCATGCAGCTCCAAAGTCACCATCCCTTTGGGTTACCCGGGACGCTTTGACCTCAGATATGAAGTCAGGTGCAGCAACAACTGCCTCTGCTCCCAAAGAGTTCGTATTGAGAGGTTCTTTTCCCATCTTTTGAACTGGAAAGTGAACCATTTTGGCAGTAAAAGCTTTTATTCCATGTAAATTATGTGACAAAAAAATGAGTAAGATGAGCAAATTTTGTGGCTAAGAAATTTCCAGAGTCACAGCTATATACATAGAGTTAATTATGGACATTCTTTTATCTGCTTGACCCACAGAGAGCAGGATATCAAATCCTGCCTTAGATGTGAGGCTCTCCTGCCCCACAAGGCCACACCAGTGGAGGAGGTCCATTATTTCCACATCAGCCAAAAAAAAAAAAAATCTACAAAAATTACTTTAAAGTATGGGAAACTCTGCTTATTACAATAAGAAAATAGACTGATCATTAATGTCATTAATGGAAGGTAGAATTTGCTGTTACTGGCAAACCTCATCAAAAGTATGCTTTGTAATATACCATGAGAGAATCAGGTAACCAAAGGTGCTGCTGGAACAGCTACAGCGTAACTGGAAAAAGACTCTATGGAAGGAGCACCATCTTCCCCCGAGCACCACTACCGTGAATAATGTCTTCATGTGCCTTCGCCACTTTCTCCAGTGGATATTCAGAGCCTACAACAGGCTTCAACCAGCCAGCTTCTATGCCATCAAGGAGTGCTGTTGCACACTCATGCTTCTCCTCCTGTGTGAAACAGAACAGTGCTTACCACAAGGTCTTTATTTTTCAGGAAAGTACTGAGTATTTATGCAAGTGTTAAACCATATTTCATAACCCAAAAGTATTTTGTGATGTTCTGAGATTAACTCTAGATGTAAAGGAATGAACAAACCAGTTACAGTGACTCTGCTTTCATCCCTACACATGATTTAACCGGAAGCAGGAGTTGGAATAAGCCAACGAAACATGCTGTGAAACAAAAGTGTTTCTTACCTCTGTTGCAAGGAAAAGACTAACTCCAGTTATGCTGGATTCCTTACTCATAGTGTCTCTTGGATTTATCTCAACGGGACCTCTACAGCCCACAACCTGTTACAAATGAGTTAAAAGATGGTTCAAGCTGTAACTGCTGAATTGTGATGCACAAACTGAAGTCAGGGACTAAACCCACTCACCATCACTCTTCCTCCGTAGTTCAGCAGTTGCAGGTCAGTGGCAAGATTGATGTTGGAGAGCATTTCTATTATTATATCAACTCCTCCCATCCCTGTGTACTCCTGCAGGACATCAGATGTTATTTAAATCCCTCCAATTAGTGTTGAGTGCCACTGTTTATCTCGTATGCTACAGATAACACACACTTTGTGGGTCAGTGTTTGAATTGTGAGGACAGCCTTTGCACTAAAGCTGACAGCTAAATTTAATTTCAGCATACTCTGGTATGCGGAATTATGACATGCTACCCCACTGGAATGTGATGGAATGCAAGTTTCTGAATGCCACTGCCTGGGAAGAAAGCTCAGCTCTTCCAGCCTGGAAAAGTTGTGCAGGCATGAAGGAGGCAGCACACTACTGTGTGTGTATGTAGATCCCATATAGATCTACTTTGAAAAACTTCTGCCAGCAACTATTCACATTTTGTTAGTAAGAAGCACACACACAGCACCACCTAGCCCTGGTACAGGCTTACCTTAATTTTATCGATGTAGTTGGCTTCTCTGTGATTAAACACCTGGTGAGCACCATTCCGCAGGACCATGCTCATGCCTTCCTCGGTTCCTGCTGTCCCCAAAACCTTTAAACCGCAAGCTCTGGCAATCTGACATGCTGCTATTCCCACCTGAGGCAGGGCAAAAGAGAATCATTTCAAAAAAATCTGTCTTTTTTTCTTAGCATATGAAGTTTTATAGATTCTGCCAGCACTTGGAACTTCCATTTAAGAAGTTGGCCTAGTAACAAGTTTTTTGCCATAGTAAGTGATTTGGATAGTAAAAATAGCCAGTCTTTAAAAAACATGTCTGTTTACAGAGGCATAGCAAAGCCCTGAGGTTTTTTTAGTAGCTATCAGCATTTGCTATAAATCCGTGTGGAATGTTGTCTGTCTGTTACAGCTGGGCCACATACACTTGATACAAATCACCTGCTACGATACCAGCATTACACATTGCACTGGAAACCTGAAACTTGCACAGATGTTAAAATCACAGCTTCCTACTCTTCATTTCACCTGAGCACAACTTGTTACGAAGCTCCCAGACCAACTTCTGACTGCAGCAATGTGCTTCCCGTGTGTCCTCTGTGCCAGGGACCTTACACAACTACTCCTGCACTTTCATGCTTCTTCAGAATAACAGGGCTTGCTCAAAGAAAGATGTAGCTAGTGTATCTGAGAGAAAATCCTGATTTTGCTAATCCATTTCTTGATATAAATGTGACCATACACGCTACCACAGGCAAAAGCAGATTCAGGACAGAAAGCAGCAGTTCTTATAACTTGCCTTCTCAAAATACTTACTCCCCCACTTGCACCATGCACGAGCACACTTTCCCCTGCTTTGGCACAGCCTCTGCATGGAAAAGAGAAAATATTGGCGTTGTGACTGCAGCACAGGACCAGCATTATCAGACTGCACATACTGACACCAAATCCCACCTTGCACACAGCATTATTTCCAACATGTGTTATGGCTAAACGGGTATCATCAGCCTCTTTGGGAAAATGAGGAGGCAAAATAAGCTGCATCATTTATGAATGTAAGTAATAAAGTCAACATGCAGGGAACAGGCTGGTGCTGAACATCAGTGCAAGACCTTCACCTGTTACAGATCTTAAACCAAACCCCACTAGTTCCAATCATCTGTTCTGTCAAACCAAACCAGGTTTCCAGTCCTAAGCTCTCACTGAGCAGGCACCAAGGGCTTTTACTCCTTATACTAGTCTAAGGCAACAGCTCAGGCTGTGCAGACTCCCTGCTGAAGGATAGATGTGGCTCTGCCCTACAGCACACTGTTCAATTAAAAAATTAGAATTGTTCCTTAGAATTATCTTCCCTTAGAATTAGAATTATCTTCCCTAGCTAAAAAACCAATGAGCACTGAAAGTTACACACTTTGTTACATGATACTTGTCAGAGAAGCCTTTCCAGGTCTGTTCTCTCAAGAAGAAATACTTAACAGGAAAATACAGCTTCTAGGTAACAGTTACCTGACTGTTCCATCAGGATAACAAATGGAACTGGCATTTTAAACATCTTCCACTCATTCATCTCCCCCATTTCACAGGACAATGAAAGTACGAATTTCAGTATTTTAAGCACTCCAAAGTAAAATGCACAAAAGTAGATCTGACACCTTACTTTTGGAAAAGAGCACGGTAAGCAGTGAAGTAGGGTATTCCAATCGCTGCCCCTTGCCTGAAGTCCAGTTTATCGGACAAAGGAAAGACTTTATTAGCTGCAGCAACTGCATAGTCTGCATATCCTCCTGAGATCGTAGCAATGGTAAAAACCCTGTCACCTTTCTAGAAACAAGGGCAGAAAATATAGAAATCAATCATTTCTTATTTTTTCCTTAATACACATTAAGAACCACATCACAGAAGTCTGGGCTATTTCTAACAGCTCCCCTATTAAAAATAACCAGTTACATTTGTCACAGAGAAGATTTTTAAAAGTGTGGATACCTACAATCCATGCAACACAAACCGTATCATTTCATGTACTTACATTTAAGCATCATAATTATAACCCCCTCTACAGTGTAACACGAAAACCTACTGTCTCATTAATATTAACTTTAATGAAGTTGAACATTAAAAAATTCCGCCCACAGGTGCCAAACGCAAAACCTTGAAAGCTTTTACAAACATAAGTCATTTCTCAATTGCTTTTGTTTAAACACGGAAAGAGAGACACACTCTTAATATACTCTGAGGAAACTCAGTGTTGCTGCTGTTCTCACGTCAGCATTCTCCCCGAGCTCTGATTTCTCTCCTGTTTGGACGCTGATCTCGGTGATAGGCAGCATGTGAAGGGTATGGGTTTGGTTTGTGCACACTTGGTGTTTATTAACTACCTGCACAGGGGTGCACAAAGCTCAGCTGGCTCTCAAGCACTGGGAGCACACACAGAGTGAGTGTGGCCATCAGCGTTTCCAGGGGATCTGCCTGGGGCACACACTGATCAGAATGTTGCAGTTCCATATTCAATCATTACCTCAAGCACAAGCATACTTCACAAGAAAACAGAGGCATCATCAGGATTAAAACTGCTGATTCCATCAGGATAACAAAGTGAACCAAAGTGTTTTAACCATTTCCCACTCACTAGTCTCCATTTTACAGAGCAATGAAAATGTGAACTTCTGCAATGCCACAGAACAGTTCTGAACCACAACTTTTGTGCACCTGACATTACTGCTGCCAGCAGACAAACTGCAGAGCAAAGGCTCTTCTGAGGCCTTTCAACTCTGGGAGGTTACAGCATTGAAGACTTCCCTCCGGTTCCCCCTGCAGGCTGGGCTGCCAGCGTGATCTCGCTGCTTGCTTTTACCAGCCCATGAAGGTGATTTTCCCCTTCATTAGATTGCATGATCATACACAATAAAACTGGAGCAAGCACACCAAGAAGATACACGAAGCAACAGGGAGTTAGACCTCGATGGGTAAATACCTTGAACGCAGTCACATGCTCCCCAACACCTTCCACCACCCCAGCCACATCTGAGCCAGGAGTGTAGGGCAGAGCTGGCTTTCTGGCATAATTTCCAGAACGAATATATGTCTCAACAGGATTTACCCCACAGGCATGGACTTTAATTAACACCTGAAAGAAAAGGTGCTTCTTGAGCAATCATTGAAAGGATTCAGGATGTCAATTCACAGCACAGTATCATGGCATTTTAATTGAATTCCTGAACAAAGTCAGCAAAAATCCAGTGCTGAACTGAAGCTATTTTCAGGAAGTCCTTTAAGTGGAATACATAGCCCCTATAGCAGCAAACCCCCACATTTGTTAAACGTGATGTCTCAGGTAGCACAAATACACTGATCAAACCATACATATTCAAGATGAAAAGTTGTGTGCAGTTCATTCACTTCTTAGTGTACCCATTATCATCCTGTATCACTGCTTCACTTCACAGAACTCTTATTACCTGATTTTCTTTTGGATCAGGAATTAGAACATCTGACTGGAGCTTAAGCACCTCAGGGCCACCAAACTCAAGAACTCTGACAGCTCTCATCACATTTCTTGTGGCTGCCATACTGATCCGAGTACCTGGGGAAAAAAAACAAAAGACACAGTAACATTGTATTGCTTTCATAATTCATTCTGCATCTTCAAAACAAAGAAATCCAACCCCCACCTGCTAAGCACCTGGCCAAACAAACCCTCACTGCTGTTCTCAATGGGGGTAGGTAGGGTAGTGTTTGCTTGGTTGGCTTTTTTCCCTCAAAAGTTGCAAAAGGCAGAAAACGACCTCTACCATTTGCAGGATTTTGTGGATGTGAAGAAAATCACATGCAAATAATTTATCCACAGAAGGCTTTCTACAGCAGCTCCTGTGAGTGACCACTGCACTGCTATTACATGGGCAGAGATGCACAGTGCTTTGGGGAAAAACTGTGACACTTTACTGTTCCATGCTGGCACACTGGATGACAGGGTCAGCAGCTCAGGGATGCGCCAGTCACTGTTCCTGCTTCCTATTAAACTGACATGTGATGAAAGGGCAACACAAAGCACGCCTCATCAGCTGTCAGAAACAGAAGGTACCACAGGCGATTAAAACAAAAAGCAGATAGCTGAGATCGCAGTCCTTAACTCCAGCTGAATTTTGCCACAGTGCAGCTCACAGCCTCGCCTGCCCCAGTGCAGCGATGCCATGTACCAACACGTGAAGCTGTGTTTTCCAATTGCAAACATGAAGTATTCTCACAAAACACCACGAGCAGGTTACTCCTGCTACAGGAGAAGTTACACACAATTTCTCCAGGGATCCAATCCTACAGGCTACACAGCAGGGGATCACAAGGCACACAGGAACCTCAAAGACACCAAGAGATCACTTTTGGCCAACTCCAGCTAGAGAACTCCTGTCTGTAGCCAGAGGGAGGCTTTACCCCAGCGATGATTACAGTTTTCAAAAGCACCTGACTTAATCACTGTTGGCTTTCTCCTGACTGTTAGAGTCTTCTGCGAGGCTTCCAATTTGTGGTTACCCGTTCAAGCTAGGGAGGGTATCAGTCACAAGGATATACACTAACACTGCCCTGGGGACATGACAAGAACCTGCACCGTGAGGTACCTCCTGAAGCTTAGGTCACTTCTGCACATAGCAACAAACCAAAGGAAAAGGCTCCCGTTCTGCTGGGCCAACAACTGGACCTGTAGGCCTTGCTAAGTGACCCTGCACGATGACTGATGAGTAAGGCCACAGCCCCGGGAGCAAGCCGGCGCCTGTCGGAGGGGCAGCGGCAGCACAAGCGTCCCGGAGGCTCCCGAGTGCCTCGGCGGCACATCCCGGCACGGGCGATCCAGGACCGGGAGGAGAGGAGCCCTCCCACCCCGGAGTTGGGAAGGGCGGGAGCGGGGCGGAGGGTACAGCGGCCCCGGCTGCCGCGACCGGCAGAGCCCGGCAGGAAGGAGCGGGCGAGCAGCAGGGCCAGGGGCCGGGGCTGAGCGGCGCTGGAGCTTCTCGAGAGCCGCAGCCGCCTTTCCCCGGGACGCGCAGCACCAGGCGGGCCCCCGGCAGGAACCGGGCGGGCAGCGAGGGGGCGGGAGGCGCCCTAGGACAGGGAGGGCAGCGGGCACCTGGGCTGAAGCGCAGCGAACAGAGACGGGCGCCTGCGAGAGCCCGGCAGCAGGGGCGGTACAAGAGAGCGCTGCCGCGGCGGCCCGGAGCTGCCCGGGGCCTCCCCGCCTCCGAGCAACCGCCGGCAGCCCTGGCCCGGCGCGGTCCGGAAGCGGAACCTGGTTCTCCTCAAGCCGGGAAGCACCGGGTACGAGAGGCCCCACCCGGCTCCCGGAGCTCACCGGCTGCTCGGCGGGGAGCGGGCGGGCACGGAGCGGCGTCAGCGCGGGATCTGCCCCCCGCCGCCGCCAAGCCCCGCCCCGGGTACTTCGTCATCACCAGGACACGCTTCTGATACGCCAGCGTATCAAGGCCTCGCCCCGCCGCCGCCAGACCCCGCCCCCTAACCCTCCCAATCAGCTGCAGGCCGCGCCCGCCCTCCCCGCCGCGTGCTGCGGGTTGGACCCCGCAGGCTGCCGTCGGCCTCGCGGGGCGGGGCTGTTCGGGTCTTCGGTCCCGGTCCCGGTCCCGATCCCGGTCCCGATCCCGGTCCCGATCCCGATCCCGATCCCGATCCCGATCCCGGTCACGGTCACGGTCACGGTCACGGTCGCGGTCCCGGTCCCGTCCCTGCCGATGGCGGCGTTCGTGCAGCGGAAGGCGCAGCGCCTGGCGCGGGCGGACGCCAGCCGGAAGGGCGGCCTGGACGAGCGCGCCGCCGCCGTGGTGCAGCTGCTCAACGGGCGGTCGCGGTTCTGCACCACCAGCTCCTGCTCGGGCCGCCTGGTCCTGGCGCAGGGCGGCGCCGCGGTGAGCCCGGGGGTCCCGCGGAGGGGCGCCCACCCGGGCGGGTCTGCAGCCCCGGGCACGCTGACAGCCGGACGTGTGGCGCCGGTGGTGTTGCTCTGAAGGGGCCGGGCTGCGCTGCACAGGAGCCGGGCGCAGCTCCCCGCGGGCCAGCTCAGTCGCTTCTCTCCGTCCCCAGGACGCGCAGAGCTGCGGGATCCAGAAGACAAACTGCGCGTGGCTGCTGGTGACACACGAGACGTGCGCGAAGGACGATGTGGTGAGAGGACGCGTTTGTGTTTATTCAGTGATGCTCGCGGTGCCGGGGAAAACCGTGGGGAAACAATCCAAGTCATGTGAAATAGACAGTTACTGCTGTTCTACGGTGAATTTGCACTGTCACCTCAAAATAAGCTTTTCTCCAGGTGTTCTACTCAAAACCTGCTTTGAACAGAATGCTTTTAAACGCAACACCAAATTCTTGGCATAGTTATAAATGCAGCTAATAGGAAACTTTGATACTTTCTTACTGTCTGGAGCCACATGATCTCCCCATCACTCGCTCAACAAGAAATCGGGGGTTACTGGGGCGCCTGTAGCAGGAGACTGCCTTTCCAAAACCAGTTCTAATCCAGTGAGTCTTATTTTTCCAAGCCCTTATTCAGAGTAAGCATCAGTAACTCTTTTCTAAGCGCGTTCTTCCTTCCCTGGAGGATCACTGTCAGTATAACACTGTACTTTTCACTTCTGATCTTTTTATCCGCTCTTTGTTTTCCCTCCTTGCTGGATTGCCAGCAAGGTATCGACAGCAGACTGGGTTTGATTTAAAAGCCTTCCTATCCTAAAGTAAAACAAGCTTAAATTTTGTAGCATGCTTGCTTGGGCTTTGGGCAGTGCTGACAGTGCAGACCACGCTGGGCTAAATGTATTTATTCCCTGTAAATATATATTTATATATAAATATATTTATTATATTTATTATTATTTTTATTATATTTATATATTTATATAATTATATATAAATATAACTATACCCAGGTAAATAGCAGTCACTGTATGGAGCTGGGTGTTTTCCTGGCAAGAGTTCTGTGTCAGGCAGCATCTGGGATGAACCTTACTCAAGCAGCAACATTCCTGCAGGACAGAGGCAGGATAGTGTGCCCTTTATCCCATTCTCCAGCAGTTTGAACCTCCAGGAATTGCAATACCTCTTTCAGAATGGGTCTGTTGTGATTAACAGATATTTAGTGTTGTCCTCTTTAACTGTCCGTAAGCGAGGGACACTTGCTTTGCTGTTCTGCTCAGCAGTTCCAGAAGAACCAAGTTCCTTTGTTTCCATTAAAGGTAGATGTGCAAAGGTGAGCATGCCGGGGAGCATGTTCCTTGTGTATGGAATAACTAAGTCCTTCAAGCCATCGAAACTGACTTGAATTTAAGCCTGCCTGCAGCTCGGCCTGCTGTGTTGATGGCCTTTAAGTTACAGACACCTGAAACTACAGTAACAGTGACTCTTACGCTGCATTTTTAATTTAGTATCTTTAAATTCCGCCCCCCTTCCAAAAAATAAATGTATATTTACATATATATATATATATATATATATATATAGTGGGGCTTTTTAGTGTGCTTTCAGAATGATCCTGCCTCTGCAAACATCTCTGAGCTTTGTCCCAAAAAGCAGCAGTTACAAGGTCAGAATTCTCTCTCAATGCAGAGCTCACCTTGCCATATGCATGCATTCTCACACGTGCACAGAGAAATCTGCTCTGTGTATTTGCCTTCATCAGTGTTTCTTGTAGCCGAGCAGAGTTTGGTGAAATAGCCCTCAGCAGAGCTCAGGCTGGGGAGGACACAGTTACTGCTGACTCTTACGAGAAAAAACACTCCGGGTTTTCCTGTGCCCCTTAGCAGGTGGAGGATTTTTCATAGAATCATAGAATAGTCAGGGTTGGAAAGGACCTTAAGATCATCCAGTTCCAACCCCCCTGCTATGGGCAGGGACACCTCACATTTTTGTTTTTAATGCATGCATTGCAAGTGTAAGAAAAATGTCTTTGATTAATTTTGAAGCTACACTTCAAAAGTAAATACATCACTTACTTTTCATGTCTAGTAAATCTTTGCTAGTGCAGTGTTTAGGAAGTGAGAAGGGAAGTCAGGATGCTGTGTGCTGTGCATTGTGCTTTTTGGCTGTCAGCTCATTTGACCTCACTCCCCATATTAACCTTAACAATATGAACATGGGATATTTGCTTGGGAATTTTTTTTATCCTTTTATCCTCTCACTGCTTGGAAAAAGCCTCACACTTGACAAAGTAGCTCTGTGAGGTAATTGCTTTCAGTGGTTCCCTGTTAAATTTTGTTTGCAGGAAACTAATGGTTTAGACACAACGAGGTAATAAAAAACCTTTACGAAAATACTCATGAGCCTTTTGAGGAAGCAAGTGCTGTACAGCAGCAGCTCAGGGCAGTGCCGCGCACAGAGGTCTCGGTCAGTGTGATTTAGCTGTGTTCTCGCTGAAAAGCTGCCCCTGGAGTATCTGATGAATTGCTCCAGAGACAGAAACCCTGCAGAACCCCCCTCACCCCATCACACGCTGCTCACAGCTCACAGCGTGCCCTCTGGTACAACGTGTGTCTCGGGGACAAGCCTGTGAGCGGGCTGCAGCCGCAGCGGCTGGCGGTGGTACTGAGGCAGGGCACTGTTGCTCAGGGGCTGGAACTGAGTTCTTGGACATGGGGAAGAAGGGGCCGCGGAACACGCG